TTTTCTACTGTAAATCTTCCATTCCAAGCAGGTATACAACCAAAACTTTCACTTTCAATCAAATTCCTTATTTGCTTCCCCCTACTTTTCCACCATCATATTCAACCTCTGCTGCAAACACCACTGTCCGCTCTGACCACTGACACTTTCCTGTAACCTGAGAGCCAGTATTAGCTTGCCTGTGCTGGATTCTTACTCTTTTCTGTTGCCTCATGTTGCAATACAAAGTGTTTTCTACATGTCAAGGAGTAGTATAAATCTTATCACCCTGGTTAGAGCAAGACATAGGTCTTCTGCTCCTAATCCATTTCTCCTTGCGTAGAAGTACCTCATTATAGCTATTTTAAAAAGAAGTTCCCTCTCTTCTCCTTGGACTTTTGGGAACAACAGGGGGTGGACGGATGGGGTTTTTCCTCCAGACTCCATTCCCCTTCCTTTACAATGCCAGAAACCGGTGGAAGACACAGATTCAGAATCAAGAACCCGGGTCTGGTCTGATGTGCACAGGGCAGACCCACGTGCTGGATGACTGGCAGGTTTCTGAACAGACCTGCCATGAGCAAAGTCTGCGCCCTTTTGACCAGGTGGGGAATATATACAAAGCCTTGGTATTTTGGAGGAAAGTAGGAAAGGGGAGAGATTCTTTAGGGCTCCATTAACATTAAGTGTGCTTCTTGAAACCCAGATAAATAGCCCCTCACCATTCTGTTCTTTCTAGCTGCTTTCTTGAGTACTACTGAAAAGCAACCCAGACCTCCTTGTGTGCCCTGAGAGGATAGAGAAGCTCCTTTAGTGAGGCAGGAGGAGATTGGTAAGTGGCATGAGAATTTTGCCCACTTCCACTGACAGGAATATGGGATCCAACCTGCTAGGCTGTCCACAGTTCTCCTGTCACCTGTCCCAGGACCTGCCTGAGAGCTGGTACCTCCTCAGCATTGGATTCAGGCAGCTGAGCAAGAACCTTTGTCCTCTCTTGTTTCCTGGATTTTTGTTCAAGCTGTGGTGGCCTTAACCCTCTAAGGATGTTCAAGTCAATCCTAACCTTCACCCCGACTTCCCTGTTCCTGATGTTGATTCTGTGTTGGGGGCATCGTGCACAGTGCACCTTTTTTCCACAAAACACTTTGAACACATTGCACCTAGAGCAGCTAAGAGAAAAACCTGGTAATTTGACTTGCAGCCAAACATTTTCAGCCTCAGGCTAGGTCTCCATGGAACCCAGATACCAAATATCCTTCAACCTCATTCTTCACTTCATCTCTTAGGAAACAAGATGCAAAAGCCAGTGTTTTGGTCTGTTACTTCCCTCACAGCATCCCATTCCAATTAAATCAGGTTCTCCAAGAGTTCGACCATTGGTTTCAAGTGGCTAAGCCGTGAACTGGTTTTCTTTTTTCATCTTTCATGGCCAACCCCAATAAGGTCTCAGCTCCTTTCTTAACTAACACTAAACAAATATAGCCCTAGTCTGTTGCCCGTGTCCAGAGAAAGACCACCTCAAAGAAGACAGATGCACCGACGCAAGGGTCTTTCCATTGTCCTCATAGGAATGGAGAATGGTAACTTGATAGTTCTAGGCTTTTCGTGAGTAGTAATGTTCGTGAATCTGCTACCTTACATAGGATTTCCCAAGGTTAGGACTGCTATTCACGACTGATGCCAAAGGGCAGAGTACAGTAAGCCTGCAACAGGTTGGTTTCCTTTCTATCACCTCCCAGAAGAAAGTGGCATTATCCTTGCTTTGTAAATGGAGATCTGATACATCCAAGGATACTACTGGCCATGAGAAAATCCACTATAACCCAAGATCTGAAGGTTGATCTTTTTTTTTTTTCGTTCCCCTAAAAATAAATCTTTGCCAGATGATAAATTCAGTTGAAGACCTATTGAGTATTTTCTGTTTCTGACATTATTATGTGCTGTGGGAAAATTACAATAGCTTAATTCTGTACTGAGTCACTTGCCATTTTTTAGGAGAGAGGCAAGATAGGAATACTTTTGACAGTTTAAAACCAACTGATGACTGGATAAATAAAATGTGATACATCCATACAATGAAATACTATCTGAGAGTTAAAAGAAATGAAGTACTGATAGGTGCTATAGTGTGGAAAAAGCCTTGAAAACATATTAAGTGAAAGAAGCCAGTTATAAAAGGTTGTGATCATTGAATTCCATCGATGTGACGTGTTCAGTGTAGGCAAATCTATGGAGACAGAAAGTGGTTTGTCTAGCCTGAAGATGGATTGTGGAGGGCACAGTGTTTCTTTTTGGGGTAAAAAAAATTCTGATATGAGGTTATGAGTATACCTAATTTTGAGTATACCTAAAATTCATTGAAATGTACACTTAAATGAGTGGATTTATGGCATATGAATTATATCTTAATAAAGATGTTGAAGTAATCCAAGAAGGTGAATTTGAGTATGAATTTGTGTGGTCCAGACTCAGCTTTACAGAAAATTTGGAAAGCATAGAAACACTGGTGCAAACAGAGGTTTCCTGGACATTTTTCATGATGTACTTTGAATAGTCCTGGGTTATAAGGACTCTAGAAGAAAGGTCCAAACAGTCTTGGACAGAAATAAGCTTTGCTGTGTGCATGTTGGGGAGCAAGGGGGAGAGGGGGGTTCAGTTGATGCAGCGAATAGCCAGATTTGGAAGGAAGATAGGGAGAAAAAGGCAGCATAGAGAGCTAGGCAGAGATCATGAGAAGCCTAAACAGCCAAGCAGGACTGTAGATTTTTTTCTATACACAGTGCTGGATCTTGGACAGGAGAATAATGGGACAAAGAACACCAAACGTGGAGCATCAAGGACGAGGGGAGTAAACAAGGTTCTTGAGCTTTCTAACAACTCATGGAGGTTTCATTGGAAGGTCTAGTTGGAATGGGTGAGAAGTTTTGGATCCAAGCTAGAAGTAGCAGGAACTGGTCTCAGCTGTTATCTCTTGGGGAAATGCCCAACTTCTCCTGCCACGACTTTTTGTCTCTAAGACCTGTTGAAATGAGCTGTGTGATGCCAGAGGCTAAGAATTTGTATTTACTGTTTGACCAATGGCTGGTACAGATCACGAGCTGCAAAATATTTAATCAGTGAGGTCATGGGAGGGAAATGAGATTTGATCAATAGGAGTGTCTGCTATTTTCCTTAAGGCTCAAATCTGAACTGCTTTTTGTTCCACCTTCTTTGGGCACAACCACAGATATTAAAAATGGAAAGAATAACTTTTCTTTAAGACCCACAAAAACTTATTTTTGATGACTTGTGTGGTCAACTCACCTTTGTGGTGTTTCTCTTGACCCAATTCACAAACATAAATGAATGCTAGTCTGCTGTTTGCTAAACCCTTTTACAACAGCACCCCCTTTTTGATGACTCAGTATTTACCCAGCATTGACAGTGGAGCCCTTGGGTCACAGGGCCAACATCTCTAGCCTTCATTAACACTTCTCTGAAGAAAACTGTTAGTCCTTGGTACCTTGGTGCCTTCCTCTGCCCGGGACACCATTTCTAGTAGAAACCTATTGAATTCTTCAAAAAGAGTTTGTGGAATTGGTAGGTGGTGAGGGAGAACAGGGGGTTCACAAGGGAGACAAAGAAGAGGCAGTGTGATTGTACATGTGAGTATCATTATTCAGCAAGCTTTTATTGGGTAACTCTTGTGGACTAGGTACTGTTCTAGGTGCTGGAGATTTGAAGGTAAATATGACATGTGCCCACCCTCGGTGCATTTGAGATTGGAGACTTCCCTGCAGTGGGTGGGTGGTGAGAGTGCATTCTGATGGACACTGCAGGACGAGGGGACTGCTACCTTCTAGAACATATATATTTCAGAGTCTCATATATCAGGGACCTACAGGGAGTACCAGGTGAGCTTCTGGTGAGCAGTTGAGGTGAAATCAGGCCCAGAAGTCAGGAGGTGGTTATGAGCTAAACAAGCTCATCGTTCTGTTGAGGGTAGGGCAGTGGCTGACGATGCCTAGAGCACTTTTGAATGTACTGAAAAGACATAGAAACTGCAGTCCCCTTGTGAGTAAAGAGGGAGACAGCCCCTTCGGGGTGTCCAGTTTAGGTACTTCTTGTGAACAGCAGAGCGGAGCTGGTGAGGAGAGCATGGGTGTGGGGTTGGGTCGCATCAGGTCTTGTGAGCCAGGGACCACTGGGTCTGAGGACGGAGGTTGTGTGTCCAGGAGAGAAGGTGGGGAACTTGAGAGGGGGACCCTGCCTTGTGATGAGGAGAAAGAAGCTTTGTGTGCAGCAGCTTATGCTGCCAGAGCAAGTGTGGGTTTGTGGCAGCTGCTACAATATAGTCCTAATATAGTCAAAGGCTCCCAGGCCGCTGGTCCACACCTGTTCGCTAGAGGTTCCCCTGAGTTGACCTCTCCTTGGGCTGCCTCCCTCTATACATCTTATGGATCTGACTCATGGGGGCCAGATAACGCCCCCCCCCCCAGGCTTTGACCCAGGGGTTTTCTTTGCCAATTTGCTTTTTTTCCTTTGGTTGGGTTTTGTTGGACTTTTGGGGTTGGGTTTGTTCAGCTGTTCTAAGAGAAGGGGTAAGACTGACCTAACCAGAAGGAAACGGGGTGTTCTACTGGAAAGTGGCCATTTTTGGCAACAAGCTGAGTGTGTGGGGTGGGGACACTCTGGACACAGAGAAGTTGTTGGGGAGGGCCAGCCTTCCCCGCCTTCCCATGACGGAAGGAAATGAAACTCGAACCGCTTAATGCTGCTGCAGCTGCTTCCTAACTTTGCCTTTTTCTTCCTTTGACCTTTGGAGGAGCGAAGTAGAGAAGATTTGGGGGGGGGGGTGTCCCAGATAGTGGTCACTTTCAACTGACCCATATTTCAGTTCTTCCCTCCCCAGCTCTGTAGCCTCCTGGGATGTGGTAGCTCAGTGCGGCTAGCATAAATTCCTTTATCTCTCCCCTCCTTCCCTCTCTTTCTTCCTCTCCCATCCCTTGGTTCCTCTTCCTGGCCCCTGTGGGTGGCAGCAGCCCAGCCCTGGGGAGCCCCTGTGGAAGTGGAGTCCTTCCTGGTCCACCCTGGTGACCTGCTGCAGCTTCGCTGTCGGCTGCGGGAAGATGTCCAGAGCATCAACTGGCTGCGGGACGGGGTACAGCTGGTGGAAAGCAACCGTACCCGCATCACAGGGGAGGAGGTGGAGGTGCGGGATTCCGTGCCTGCCGACTCCGGCCTCTACGCTTGCGTGACCAGCAGCCCCTCGGGCAGTGACACCACCTACTTCTCCGTCAATGTTTCAGGTTGGTAGCAAAGCCCTGCCCTCACCCCGTCCTGGACCTACCCCTCCAACCCTCTCTGCTAGTTTCAGGGGGAGGGGAACCTCCTCCCCCTCCATGATCTGCCCCCACTCTGCTTCAGAAACTGCTGCCCACTAACATTGCTCCCTGCCAGCTTAGCTTTCAGAGGGGGAACCAGTGGTGTGGACCCCAGACCATCTGGGCCTTCGCAGGTCTGCCTCAAAGGTGGTTGCCGATAGATACTTGGGGGGGTGGCAGTAAAGCACTGTGATTTCTCCACCACAGCTTGCCCAGATCTCTGGGGTGCTATGTAGGGCTCCATCCTGTCATGCCCTTCCCATTTGGACTTGGTACTCGGCTTAGTGATCAGAGCCCGAAAATAACACGGTGAGGTCCCTTCTGTGATAGGTAAGGATCCAGGTGCACCGCAGGAGCCCAGGCTTTATGGAAAACATCTGTCCTCTCGCTTCCAGAGCTAGGGGAAGCTGCCACTTCTAAAATGCTGCTCACAAAACTAAGATTAAATGAAGGAGAGCTGCCATGTGTGCATCCCAGGTTTTAGACTTGACACCTCCTCCCTACTGGGCATCATTTAACACCTGCCCCAAACTGAGGGAACTACCTCTCTCATTTCCCTCCTCTAGACCCTAAAAACCCTAGGAAGGACTGAGGGAAGATCTGATCTGAACCCTGATTGGTGACCACATGTGTGTCAGGCCTCTTAAAAGGGGTGGATATTTGTTGGGGAGAAGTGTTGGCAGCTGTGGATTGTGTGGTGGGCTGCCTGTCTGCTCAGGTGAAGGGTAGCTCCCAAACCTTAGCAGACGCGTGCTAGAAAAATTCTAACTGTAGGTTGTTCAGCTCATGGCTTTGGAAGTTGTTTCTGGCTGCAGTGTGCCTAGATCTGTCTGGATTTCCTGATGGTTGGTATTCTAAAGGAGGATCAGTTCCCTGGGTACTAGTTCTGAAACCCAGCCTTTCCGGAGCCTACCATGAATTAAGGAAACCTTTGGAGAGAGTCACTGGGGGAGAGTAGGTATGGGGGGCAGTGTCTGTTCTGTAACAGTATTGGCCCCCCTGGAGTGGCTGTTGAGTGATAGAAATCAAGAGAGCCCCCTGTCCCTTGGAGGGACCTCACTGCCCCTTTGTCCTCTCCATAGATGCCCTCCCTTCCTCAGAGGACGACGATGACGATGATGACTCCTCTTCAGAGGAGAAAGAGACAGATAACACCAAACCAAACCGTATGCGTGAGACACTGTTTCCTACATTACTGCCCTTTGGCACTGAGCGTTGGGATTGGGTGGCACAGGGGAAACTTGGTTGGTTGGTTGGTTGGTTGGTTGGTTGGAAAGTAAGAGGAAAAGCCATGTGGGTTCATGATAGTTGGCCCCCTAGGCATTCGTTATTTTCAGGTATTAGGCAGGCAGGTGGGGCCCTTCCAGGTGCTGGCCTAGGCCCCTTGTTCCTGAGCCTAACCAGCTTCCCTGCCTTCCCTGGCTTTCCGTGGGCAGCCGTGGCACCGTACTGGACGTCACCAGAAAAGATGGAAAAGAAATTACATGCAGTGCCAGCTGCCAAGACGGTGAAGTTCAAATGCCCATCTAGTGGGACTCCTAATCCCACCCTTCGCTGGTTGAAAAATGGCAAGGAATTCAAACCTGACCACAGGATTGGAGGCTACAAGGTAGGCATGTGTATACAGAAGTTAGAGTAAGAAGAACTGGAGAAACTGATAGAAAATTTTCAAATATGAAATATAAATGAAGTGAAAAATTTTCAATCTTTTTTTAAATGTATATGGTTTTTACATAGTTGATCATATTATGTTTATATGATTCCCTTGTTGTTTGTTATCATTGTTGCCTGAGCTTTTTACCTTGTGTTTGAAATTTTTCATGGCCACATAATATTCGACTGTTTTACTATACCATAATTTATTGAACTATTATGTACTTCTAGTTATTTTCTGGATTTTTGCTATTTAAATAATGTTATAAGGAATATCTTTGTGCTTAAATCTTTATCAGCATCTTTAAATGTTTTTCCTTAGGACAGATTGCTGGAAGTGAAATTGTTCATTCCAAGTATAAGCATTTTAAGCCCTTGCTGCAAATTACCTGATTACTAAGTATTTTCCTGGTCATTAGGAAATTTCATTCATTCATTCATTCATTCATTCATTCATTCATTCATTCATTCATTCATTCATTACGTGACCATTTCTTAAACACATGTCTTTCCAGAAAATGTACTAGGCAATAGATGGTTCAAAGTACAGCAGAAGAACATGAAATTTTACTGTGGCAATTGCTCAAATGAAGGACAGACAATGTGGATAATGAGTTGGGGGTGTGATTTTATGTTATTGTGATAACAATTACTTCCTTAAAAGGGAAAATTAATTTACCCTCCCATAACTAGGTCTGAGGATGGCAAGATCACTATATTCTGCCAACAGATTTCCTGGATGCAAGTATCTCATTGTTCTCTCATGCTTATTAATGAACTTAGAGTTTTCATATGTTAATACGTGATTTCCATTTCCTGTTGTATAAATTATTTGTGTCCTTTTGCCAACTTGCATTTCTAGAAAGATGATCTGATCTTCATTGTAATCTTTGGAGACTTTGATCATCCTTCGTGTCCTGTTTTCTCTCACATCTCACCTAGCCATAACATTTCTCTTTAATCTTAAGAGAAACAGAAGTCATTGAAATAGAGGGAAGCATTTTAAATCCTCTCCAAACACTAGGCACTGTGCTATGGGCAATACTGACTGCGCTCTTGCCCATAAAGAATTGCCAGTCTCCTGGAGGGCACACGTCCCCGCGCGCCGACATAAAAAGCAGAGGTGAAACAATTCTAACTGGAGATTTGGCTGGAGGGAGTGTCTTTAGGGATGAGCTGTCAAGGGCAGAGAGGGCTGGACTCAGCAGGATGCTGATGGCACAGGAATGGTATGGACAGAGACACAGTTATTAAAGTTCCCAGGTATTTGGGAGAGTTCAAAAGACACTTCTGTCCCCACCCTGAACATCTTGGCTATTTCTGGTAATTTCTAAAGTTCCTCACTTTCGTCACCAGCTTGCCTGACGTGTTCTTTCAGGGCATAAATAGGCAGGGATGGACAGCCCATGCCTTACCCTGGTTCGCCTCAGGCATGAGCTGTGGGCGCTGTGTGCTGATTGAAGAGTAAGGGCCACGTGGCACCAATGCCATCAAGTGGCTCTTCCTCCATTTTCCTCCAGACCCTCAGTGGAGCCCTTTGGCATGTTCTCCTCAGGTCCGATATGCCACCTGGAGCATCATAATGGACTCTGTGGTGCCTTCAGATAAGGGCAACTATACCTGTATTGTGGAGAATGAGTATGGCAGCATTAACCACACCTACCAGCTGGACGTTGTGGGTAAGAAGGCGAATGGTCGTGGGAGTGTGTTGCTGAGAGGGGGAGAGAAAGGGGGCTTGAAACATGGTCACATGGTCCAAGCTGCATCAGGATAGTCCATACGGTGTTGGCTCTTGGCAGGTCTGTCACTTTAAACAGATTAGTTTGCTCTTTTGACTCTCAATTTTCTTAACTGTAAAACTTAGCATAAAAGTCGCTATTGGGGACCTCTCTGATGGTGCAGGGCTTAAAGTTTCAGCTCTGTCAAGCTATCACCAGTCATTGTGACACGAGTTCAACCCCCGGCCAGGTTGCTGACCCACATGGCACAGCAGACCTCTCCTGTCTCACCCTCTGCTCTCCTCAGCAGTGTATTTTAGTAGATCCACCTGTTCCCATTCCCCACTCTGTCTCTGGTGAATCCTCTCACTGCCCCTGCCCCAGACCCCAGTTCTTCTTGTATGCATCAAAAAATAAAATAAATAAATCTTTTTTTTTTTAAAAAGTCATTGTTGGTTCCTGAGAATCAGCAATATGCTAGATATTTTAAACAGATCACGTGCCATTCTCATGGCACCCCTGCAAGGTGGGCAGTGTTGTTCCCACTGTACAGAAGAGCAAACTAAGGTTCAAAGACATCTAATTAATGAGAAGAGCAAACTAGGCTAGACATCTAATTAGTGAGAACTCAGACCCATGCGACTCCAGGGCATCCTACAAGATATTAGGGAGAACATTCTGCTCTGGGTGCTGTCATCGCCACCTATTTCTCCCGGAGGTTCTGAATCTCATTCTCTGGAGATCCTAAGGTGAGTTTCACAGCTAGCGTTCTGTCTTGGTTTTGAGGATACAGTCCAAAAAGAAGCTTGTGCTCCAGGAGGCCTGGGGGAGGGTTTAAGATACAGCATTCCCAACAGTCTCCTCAGTGGTGCTGGACTGCACTTTGAATAGCAGGCATTTTAGTAACTATGATCCTGGTCAAGGAGAAGTAGGGATAGGCTGTGCTAAAGTCCAAGAGTGGGTTACAGGCTTCTCATTAAGGAAAGAGAAACCTTAGGCATGTGAATATGTATGCATTGCTTTGGGAAGAAGGTTCCCAGTCACCTTGGCCCTGAGGGAAAGGTGTTTTACCCCAGCTTAAGGTTATGGGTTTGGGGCTCAGTAGAGGCTCTGATAGGTACACTGCCATCATTAGTTGAGTCTCTGGGAGTACACTTCTCTTTGGTGATCTTTGGAGAGCAGAGAGGGCTGGACTCATCAGGATGCTGATGGCACAGGAATGGTATGGACAGAGACACAGCTTTAAAGTTCCCAGGTATTTGGGAGAGTTCAAAAGACACTTTTGTCCCTACCCTGAACATCTTGGCTATTTCTAGTAATTTCTAAAGTTCCTCACCTCCGTCACCAGTTTGCCTGACGTGTTCTTTCAGGGTGTAAATAGGCAGAGATGCACAGCCTCTGTCAGTATACCAGCCAGGAACACGCCATGACAGGGTCTGATGGGGCTCTCCTCTGCCTTTCTTCACAGAGCGGTCCCCTCACCGACCCATCCTGCAAGCAGGGCTGCCTGCCAACAAGACAGTGGCCCTGGGCAGCAATGTGGAGTTCATGTGTAAGGTGTACAGTGACCCACAGCCCCACATCCAGTGGCTGAAGCACATTGAGGTGAATGGGAGTAAGATTGGTCCGGACAACCTGCCTTATGTTCAGATCTTGAAGGTAATCTTGACCCTAGTCTCTCCATGGGCTGAGTGCTGGGATACAGACCAGAAAGTCCCAGGACCCAAGTTGCTGTGGTCAGAGTCAGTGCCCACAGTTGGGACACATGTGCCACTTTAACTCGGGAGCTAGACAGCTCCCCAGGTCTAGTGACTGGTCACAGAGTAAAGCTGTGATGGGAACAGAGGACTAGGGGGTGGTAGGCAGTGCTGGTTTCTAAAGAGCTTTGAGAGTGACTTTGCTTGAGCCTTTGGGTTGACTATTCAAAGAAGACTTTTGAAATACTTTTTTATTGCCCAGGACCAAAAGCTTTGCAGCAAGCATTTCCCAGTCTCTGCTTTGTTTCGTAAGTCACATTCTTTCTGGCACGTGGGCAAATGAGAAGATCATAGCTTAGGTAGCCTTGGAAAAGCAAATGCCACAGGTAAATCCTAAGTCGTAGCAGGAATAATGGCATTTTCTTCCTTTTTCCTCTCACTCCCAGACTGTCATTGTCCCTGAATGCTCCATTAATCCAGGGAAGATAATTACCTAATTCTCCAGTGGATCTTGCAGCAGGAAGTAACCAGAGCTGGGAAAGTGGTTTATCTCCTGCTCCCAGAGTTAGACCTTCTCCTCCCCTGGCTTGGCTGCCCCAAAGACTAGCTGGCCATTCCTTCTCTTCGCTAACGGTGTCGACCCTGCTATGTAGGAAGTGGCCCATGCCGTGGGCCTTGGCCACCATCTCCATTCACAAGCTACCTTCATCCCAAAGGAGTGGGTTTAACTCAAACAGCATTTGATTGAGGGGGTGCAGGGGGTGGGATCCGTGATTTTTTTTTTCTTTTTTAGTTTATTTTTTACTTACATGCTTTGGACTTTTAGAGTCCATTTGTTTTTAACAAGAAAATAAGTCCCACTGAATACCTCCCTTGCCTTAGCTCCCTGGGCCTGCCTTAAAGTAAAAGCAAAGTACAACCACATCTCAGTGTTTGCCCAACTGACTGGCGTGTCGTTGGTTTGTTCCAGCATTCGGGGATTAATAGCTCGGATGCGGAGGTGCTGACCCTGTTCAATGTGACAGAGGCCCAGAGCGGGGAATATGTGTGTAAGGTTTCCAATTATATTGGTGAAGCTAACCAGTCTGCGTGGCTCACTGTCACCAGACCTGTGGCAAAAGGTAATGGGGAGATGGTGGGGACCCTGTGCTGGGAGTTTGACTTAGGCCCCAAGCTGCTGGAGCAAGTGGGGAGCCAGCCCCCAACTCTCCCTGTTACCCTACTGTTGTCCTCTAGTGCCCAGAGCCATGGAAAAATGCCCGGCCTGGGAGGCTGGTTTGGTTTGGTACTGTGTTGGTGTCTGCTCCCTCTGTGCCTTCCGTGTGGCCCCTGGCTGTGTGTGCTCCTGGGGAGTCTTGCTGCCTTGCGAGTGACTCTGCAGACTGAAGACTCACATGGTGGAGAGAAGCGGCAAGCGTGCCCTCAGACCACGTCTGCAGGCTGTGTGTGCGTGTGACTGTAGCACCTTCCGTCCCCCTGTGTGTGCCCTCTGACTTTCTTTACCTGAAACCAAACAGCCGCCCTCCCGCCGGGCCCCATTTCTCCATGCTGCCCACTGCCCGCATGCTTGGATGGGCCAGGGGCTGCAGCATCTGGTGAAGGGTCATAACCAGCGTCGTCGTCTCAGGCCTGCCAGAGTGCCTCCCTCAGGGTCTCACTCTCTTCCTCTAACAGGTCTCGCTGCCTGGTGGTTTTTGTTGTTTGTGGTTGCAAAGGAAACGCTGGGGAGCATTCCTGGTCCCCCCACCCCCACCCCTTCTCTTTCTCCCTCCCTCTCTCTGTGTCTCTTGGAGGTCTCATGCCCTGTGCTTGTCCATTTTGCTTCCGTTGTCTCTTCTAGACGGCCGGAGTTAATACCACCGACAAAGAGATGGAGGTGCTTCACTTAAGGAATGTCTCCTTTGAGGACGCGGGGGAGTATACGTGCTTGGCGGGTAACTCTATCGGACTCTCCCATCACTCTGCATGGTTGACCGTTCTGGAAGGTATACACTGTACTCCTTTCTCCTCTCGATGTCCTGCCCTTGCCATGGGCATGGGGGGAGCATGCATTGCCGGGTTGGGGGAGACTCAGAGCTGGGACAGGTAGCTGCAGCAATTTGATCAACCTTGAGGGTGAAATCCACTTGGCTCACACAGGAGCTGTCTGCCTTTTGCAGGACTGTGGGGACCTCCCTCCTGTACAGCTGCGTCTGGCTCTCCCCTTGGCCGGTGCAATGCATGCATGGGATCTGGATTTAACCTGTAGCTGGGCTCTTGTCCAGGGCAGCCTCCTTCCATCCTTGGGCACAGCAGCCTTGCCTGGTCCACTCCTGCTTTAACTGAACGTAGCCACTCTGTAAACAGGAACTTATAGCTTTACAAAGCTGACTCACCCTTCCACACTATAGTCTTACAATTTTGAAGGAGAAGAGCTTCTACCTGGATGTGTGAACTTGAGCTACTTAAGTGAAGCCTATCTCAACCAGTCTCCCAGAGGCTGATGATGCCCATTTGTCACCTTTGGCTACTGATTTTGTGGGGGCAGGAAGGAAGGAGCCTGCAGCCTGGTCAGGTGGTGGGCTGGTGACTGCAGGGCTGGGGCATGGTGTTGCTCTGGTGTTGCTGCTCTGAGCGCTGTGCGCAGGTCAGGTCGGGGCCGGTGCTGTTCTTGTGACTGCTGACATTGCCCTTTCCTCTTTCCCCTCCCTCCCTTCTGCCCGGCCTGCCTCACAGGGTCTGATAACACCTCTGTTGGAGGCAGAGAAGCGTTCTGTTTTTATCATTGTCACTGTCTGTCCTGCGTGTGCTCCCAGTTAGTTATCTTCTCAACATCAGGGGGAAAAAAAAACAGAAACACTTCTTGTTATCAGCTTTGCTGTCCCCTGTTGGGCCTCGGGAAGTTCTCTTCAGGCTCAGTCTGGGGGCATACCTCATGGCTCTCTGGGGAGGTCCCCGGGCTGCCTGCCCCTGTGGCTGGCTGGTGTCTTTGGGGGCTGGGGGGTGAGAGAGGAGCACTGTGGAAGGAAGAGAACAGTCCCAAGGATGGAGTGTCTGTGAGGGCATGCTGCAGCCTTGGGAAAGAGGGTGGGAGGGATTGTCCTGATGGGCGTCTGTGGGAACAAGGTGAATTCTAAACAAAAGTTGAGAAGAAGAAAACCGTGCCACCCCCCCCACCACCCCCCCTTTCTAAGTTCAGAGAGTTAGGGACCTATGAGTAGAATTCTTAAGAAAAGTTTTCAGTTTTTATCTAGAGCTGTTCGGGCCTGTTTGGAAATTCATTCTGTTTTACTTGTGGTTTGGCTAGTATTTACATGTCTGACCTGCCACAGGGGACAGACAAAAGGTGGGACATTTTGTCAGGATGCAAACTGGTTCTGCCCTCCCTTCGTTTATCCTCACTCAGTGCCACTATATGCGAGGTGCTGTCGCAGAAATGAGCCAGGCACCTTCCTGGCCTCTAGGCACTCGTGGGCTCATTGGAACAAAAGGCACAGGCAGTTTATCTGTCCCAGCGTGCCAGGCGTGTGTGCATCACTGAGGTGCTGCAAAGGAGGGCGTCTAGAACAAGATGCTTTTTTCTCAGCTGTCTTTGCAGGGTACTTGGTACCCATCTCGCCAATAGTCCAACTGAGCAAAGGCGATTCCTGAGTTCATGGGGATGGGCCTCTTTGAAAAGGTCAGGGTCAGGAAGCCTCAACCATCGCCAGATGTCTAGTTTCTCAATGCCAAAACCTCAGTTCTAGCTCAGACCTGGCTTGGTTCTTGCCCTAAGATTCCCAGAGGAAAGGAGATAGGTGACATATTTCTTATGGAACTAGGACCCCAGTGGACTGGGGCCCTACAGCCTCCTAACTTTGTGTTCACACTGACTCAGCCCTGGAAGAGAGACCTGCAGTGATGACCTCACCCTTGTACCTGGAGATCATCATCTATTGCACAGGGGCCTTCCTCATCTCTTGCATGGTGGGGTCTGTCATCATCTACAAGATGAAGAGCGGCACCAAGAAGAGCGACTTCCACAGCCAGATGGCCGTGCACAAGCTGGCCAAGAGCATCCCTCTGCGCAGACAGGTAACAGAAAGTAGATAGGGGATTTGCACGCTCCACATCACCTTCTTTCCTTGTGTCAGGGGCTTCTCCAGGGCCTTCTAACAACTTACTGTCCCGAAACTACACTCAGGCTTTGCTTTCTGGCTTCTGGGTCAGGGTTGGTGGAATGTCCAGACCTAAGTGCTCCAGAGATGAGTGTCCAGCAGTTCTCGCCCCTAAGCACCCACGTCCCACCCGACCCTGACTCACATCTGCTGAGAGTCCTAATTAGGCTGAGTGCCACTGGTGTTGTTGCACATTTGAACTGTCGCCGAAAGTTAGGGGCAACAGATAGAGAATACTCAGAAGAGACCTGAGGGGGTTCCTGCCCTCTCTCTGATGTGCCCATACCTTCTCATCAAAGGAAATGAATAGAGGTGAATGTGTGTGAAAAGAGGGATGTGCTAATCCCAGAACGTACTTAGGGAGTTAGGAATCCATGATCTGAGGCAAGGTTTTCACAAATGATCTGGACAATAAAAATTGCAATGAGATGTAATACAGTGTCAGTCTGGAAGAGGTGACTCTGATCTGCCTATGGTAAAGATGAATAAATTGAAGCCCAGCAAGTCTAGTTAGTAGTGAATATAAGTCAATGTTAGACCTTTGGTCTTCTACCCTGCTGCCTGCGCTGGGGGAAGACGATCCGATACCATACAAATACCTCTGTGATCTATGAAAAGCCCTGACTAGTAATTGGAGGAATCTGTTGCTACTACCCCTCACCCCCTCCTTGCTAGAAGGGTGACCCCACTCTTCCTGTAGGTATCAGCTGACTCCAGTGCATCCATGAACTCTGGAGTTCTGCTGGTTCGGCCCTCACGTCTCTCCTCCAGTGGAACCCCCATGCTGGCTGGGGTTTCTGAATATGAACTTCCTGAAGACCCTCGCTGGGAACTTCCTCGAGACAGGTTAATACTCTGACTCAACTTTCTAAAGACCCCTGCTTGTTAGTATAATGGTGGAAGTTGTGTACATTAAGATCTTCTGGGGGTGAAAACACATGAGGCACCTCCTGAAATAATTTCTACTTTCTGCTCTTAGTTATTTGGAATATGGGCAGATAGAGAAGGCGCATCCTGCCTTAAGTTTGAACTTCAGCACTTTACCACTCTGTTTCCCCCAAAAGACTGGTTTTAGGTAAACCCTTGGGAGAAGGCTGCTTTGGGCAGGTGGTATTGGCAGAGGCCATCGGGCTGGACAAGGACAAACCCAACCGTGTGACCAAAGTGGCTGTGAAGATGTTGAAGTGTAAGTGATATTTCTGTCCTTGGAAAAGTGATTCCTTCCCTTTCATGCCCACAGCGGCTACACTGTTACCTGTGATTGCCTGGGTGCGGAGGGAGCATTCTGGACCTGAGATTGCCATAAACTCACTTTGTTTCTTGACATCAGCTTGGGTTGTGGTCAGGTGTTTCTATAGGTCCCAGTGGGAGCTGACTTTCTGTCCCTTAACCTCTGCCCACTGGTTACTGTTTATTGTAACAAAGGTTCTTTTATGAGAGAAAGGAGAATAAATTTGGTTGCAAAAAGCAGGGAGAAAAGCAAGTCCTAAAGAGAAGGGGCTCTTTGGGCATACCCTCTCCTGAGCGGTCCTCCTGTCAGCCCCTCTTCCAAAGTTAATGAACCTCATCTCCATCTCTGGTTTGTGTGCAAAGCGGATGCCACAGAGAAAGACCTGTCTGACCTGATATCAGAAATGGAGATGATGAAGATGATCGGGAAGCACAAGAACATCATCAACCTGCTGGGGGCTTGCACGCAGGACGGTAGGTGCTAAGTGGGCTGACTCTGCGACCCACTAGGAAAGGGTCTCACAGTGTCTGTCGGGGAGAAGGTCACACATTGGGGTTTCGATGCCACGGCATCTCTCAGTTCTGCTTAGGGAAGAGGGCTGCAAAGAGGCCTGTTAAGCAGAGTTGGATGTATTTCTCAGAATGGGCCCATTGGAATTCATGAATACAGGTACCTAGACTAACACACAGTGAGTGGATAGGAACAGGTCTAGAGTAATCATGGTCTAGATTAAAGCTCTTACTCCCATCTTTGCTTGGGAACTCTTTGGACTGTGCCAGAAAGAATTATTTCCCTGACTTTAAGTCATGGGCTAAGTTTCCTGGCTTCCCTAAAGGGGAGGGTTGCATAGGAAATAGTTGGATGGTGTGCCATTGAGGGTGGAGTGCCCGGGAAGCGAAGGTAAATTTGCTTACCTGCCTGCCTGCCCTGATGGCCCCTTCCCTCTGGTGCTCTCAGGTCCTTTGTATGTCATCGTGGAATATGCCTCCAAGGGCAACTTAAGAGAGTACCTGCAGGCCCGGAGGCCTCCTGGGTTAGAATACTGTTACAACCCCAGCCACAACCCGGAGGAGCAGCTCTCTTCCAAAGACCTGGTTTCCTGCGCCTATCAAGTGGCCCGGGGCATGGAATATCTTGCCTCCAAGAAGGTATGGCACCTGCCAGCTCCTCTGGGTGAAGTCGGGGTGGGAACACAGCCCTCAGTCATACTCCAGCTTGTGACTGACTCCACTGGGGGAATTGTAGATGTGTTGGATAGGCCTGTCTGTGCTGAATTAGGCATCCTGGGGACCTAAGAGTTAGGAGAGACAATATAACCTTGGGGGTAGCTATTTACTATCTTAAATATAAAGTAAGAATGCTAAGACCTCTGTTTTAGAGTGGATCTGGGCATAAAATGAAGTCATGTGAGAGTTAGGTACAGATGGCTTTGCTGGAACCCCAGCCTAGTATGGCTGTGCCACATCTGGGAGATGGGATTTCAGAGCACACACCTCTGTGTTAGCACAAGGCTTCAACCTTTTTTGGCGATGAATCCGGGCATTGGGAAAACTAGGAGAAGAGGCAGATAGGAAGGGTTTGCTATAGTGATTGTGAGGCCTTGGAACCAGAGGTGTTTGAGTAGTCAGGCTTGAAGTGGGGGAGAGGGACATTCAGCAGCAAACTAGAACTGGAGGTGGACTGGTGTGTCTGGGCGAGGCCTGCGGCTCAGACAGCTGGGCACCAGTGCTTGTCACAGCTCTCGACCTCTCATCTGCTACCGGCCCTCCTCTCTCCATTATTTGTCTACCTCTCTGTCCACAGTGCATACACCGAGACCTGGCCGCCAGGAACGTCCTGGTGACAGAGGACAATGTGATGAAGATTGCAGACTTCGGTTTAGCTCGGGACATTCACCACATTGACTACTATAAGAAGACGACCAACGTAAGTGCTGGCGATGCCGCTGGACACGTGTCCTGTGTCTTGGACTGTGCCCCGCCATCTCTGCTTTGGCTTTCTCTGCTGTAAACCCAGCACAGGTTGCCTACCAGTGTGGTAGGATAAGCTGAAATGTACCTCCCCCCAGGCCAGTCCCCCTTGTACCTCTACTTGTCCCCTCATTACTTTTTGCTGGGCCATCCCTATTCTCCCCTGTGCTCCCTGCAGGGCCGACTGCCTGTGAAGTGGATGGCACCTGAGGCCTTGTTTGATCGGATCTATACCCACCAGAGTGACGTGTGAGTACAAAAGCAATTGCCAGGGACACTTGGGGTAAGACTAGAGAATTTGCAGTAAAATAGAGCCCTACCCCTCCCTGGTGGCGTAGCAGGTTAAAGCACTTCACTGAGAAGCTAAAGCCGCTTCCGCATGAGTTCGACTCCCGTCTGCCCCGGAGGTGACCACATGGCGCGGCAGACCTCTCCTGACCCGCCCGCTGCTCCCCTCAGCAGTGTACTTCGTCGATCTGCCTGTTCTGCTCCCCACTCTGTCTCTATGAAGCCTCTCACCCTCCGCATCTCTGGCCTGTATCCCAGTTCTGTATGAATAAATAAATAAATCTTTAAAAAAAAAAATAGAGCCCTACACCCCTCTCCAGATCGATGAGGGTCTCCTTCGATTGGGAAGAGAAAAAACAAGACATTGTATGTATATATTTACTTTATTCCCAGAGCTTGAAAGTCCACTGGATTTTCAAGCAAAGTCCACTGGATTTTCAAGCACTGGAATTAAGTGTTTGTGTTGGAAGGGGGCGTGTGGGTTCAGGATGAGTATCTGACTTGTGGGTGAAGGGGAAATAGAGGGACTAGGTTTACCTGTCTTTGTACTTATCCACAGGTGGTCTTTTGGGGTGCTCCTGTGGGAAATCTTCACTCTGGGTGGCTCCCCATATCCTGGTGTGCCTGTGGAGGAGCTTTTCAAGCTGCTGAAGGAAGGTCATCGAATGGATAAACCCAGTAACTGCACCAATGAGCTGTAAGCGTGAGAAGATATTTGAGGTCTGGAACTAGCTGGGGGTAAAGGGGAAAGGAATGAATTTGATAGGTAAAGGGAGAAAGGCATCTGGCTAGGTCAAGCAGCCCTTCCTGGTTCTTCCTCTGACTTGACAATCTTGGTTCAGGTACATGATGATGCGGGATTGTTGGCATGCAGTACCCTCTCAAAGACCTACCTTCAAGCAGCTGGTAGAAGACCTGGACCGCATTGTGGCCTTGACCTCCAACCAGGTGAGACTGTCCCGTCCTAGACTGTCAGTTGTCATCACTAGCTACATCTCTGTGAATTAGAACTGCGGCGGGGAGTCACGTACTGGACCCATGGTTCTTTTGTCTCTCCAAGGAGTATCTGGACCTGTCAATGCCCCTGGATCAGTACTCTCCCAGCTTTCCTGACACCCGGAGCTCAACCTGTTCCTCAGGGGAGGATTCCGTCTTCTCTCATGAGCCGTTGCCTGAGGAGCCCTGTCTGCCCCGACACCCAGCCCAGCTTGCCAATGGCGGACTCAAACGACGCTGACTAGTCCCCCAACATCCCCCTCCCTGAACGCCATCATCAGCTGTAGCCCTCGTCCACCACTCCCTGCTGGACTCACTGCCTTCCCCTTGGTCCCTTTCCTGCTGGCAGGAGCCAGCTGCCTACTTGAGGCCTTCCTGTGTGACCTACCTTTACCCCACTGAGCTCACCTCTCTTCCTCCTCTCGACCTGTGGGCGAGAGGGAGGAGCAGAGAGGCAGGTACTTGCTGTGGCCACTTTGTTCCCTCCCAGACATTGGACCAAGACCCCTCCTGCACCTGGTACTGCCTGTCAGGTTGGGGAGTGGGAGATAAGCGGGCACGCAAGTGAGAGCCCACCAAGCTTTCTTGTGTTGGTTTTGTCTGCTTTGCCATAAAGCCCCCCTGTGTTGTGGTGGCAGGCGGGAACCTCATCCTCAGGGCTACAGCAGTAATGAGGAGAGGTCAGTGCTTTGGGCCTCCGTGGAAGGTGACCTCTGCTCCGGATAGATGGTGCCAGTGGCTTATTAATTCCGATACTAATTTGCTTTGCTGACCAAATACCTGGTGCCAGAGGATAGGGAGGCAAAGGCTGGGAGCAGTGTTGTGGCCCTGGGGCCCAGCCCCAAACTGGGGGCTTTGTACATAGCTATGAAGAAAACACAAAGTGTATAAATCTGAGTATATATTTACATGTCTTTTTAAAAGGGTCGTTAACCAGAGATTTACCCATCGGGTAAGATGCTCCTGGTGGCTGGGAAGCATCAGTTGCTATATATTAAAAACAAAGAAAAAAGAAAAAAAAGGAAAATGTTTTTAAAAAGGTCATATATTTTTTGCTACTTTTGCTGTTTTATTTTTTTAAATTATGTTCTAAACCTATTTTCAGTTTAGGTCCCTCAATAAAAATTGCTGCTGCTTCATTTTTATATGGGCTGTGTGACAAGGGAGAGAATGTCAACAAAAAGGGAGATAAATGGGGTCCGGGAGTTGTCTGTCCAGGGAGGGTTATCTGCTCCCTGAAGTTGCCTCCTAACCTCTTCCTTTTAGATCTGATGTCTTTGGAAAGGCAGGGGAAAAAGTTGTCTGTCTCTTGGACAGGCGCCTCCTGTCAGTACACCCGAGGCACTGGGCTCTGGGCCAGAGCCCCATGCCCCTCCCCTAGCCCTAACCACAGATTGTTTCCTCAGGAAACTGGGAAACGGGGGAGGGAGGCGTGGAGTCGGGGGGTCAAAGAGAGTTGGGGGCCTACCTCAGAACAGCCAAGGGGTAAGCTAAAGATTATCCAAGTAGGGCCTGCAAAAACTCAAGCCCAGATATGTGTCTACCCACGCTGGGCGGGTGTGGTTCTGCCTGTGCTGCCATGTGAGGGAAACTTGTCACCTGAGACTATATTTGTGTCCAATTCGGGCCCCTTGCTTCTAGTTTCCCAGTCTGCTCTGTTCATGATCCTCCCCCACACCATTCTTCTGGTACCCATGTGACCAGGCTGCATTTGTTGGGAGTATCACAGATCTTGGCATCCTGTAGTCCTTCCTGTACAGACTCCACCCCATCCCTCAGGATAGGGAAAAAATTCTCTGAATGTTTATTTTTTTGGTTGCTTGGAAATTACTTCCTCTGCCACCTGCTGGTGACTGCTGTACTCACCAGAGAGGTCCTGGGTCCACAGATCCTTAGATTGCATGTTGATGAGTGTCGGCTCCTAGGATCTGAGTACAGAGCCTCAGTGGGTGGCTCTGCCTCTGTATCTAAGACTAAACTTTTGCTGGATTACTGTTGAGTGAGTACAATTGAAAGTTCCATACACTTTCATTTCTAGAGGGAAAATGGGGTTGCTGTTTACATTTCCTTTCTGAGCTAGCTACTTTTGGCAGATGTAGGGGCCGCTATTGTAAAATTGTCTCTTGTCCTTGTGTCTCTCTGTAAATATGAAACTTTCAACACATTACACCTTGTGTTTATGTTGAATGAAGGTATAATCTGGTGAACAGAGCCAGGAAATGAATTCTAGCTCTTAAAACCATTTGCTTGGAGATGATATAATGGTGTGTTTTGTTGTGAAATAGCCATCCCTTGGCCCTTCCTTGAAACAGTGTTGTGTGAATGAATCTGTAATGGCCTTTATAGGCCATCGGGAGAGGTGCTAGAGAAATAGAAGGCACAATTACTATAACAGTGGTGTCCTTGCTGTTACTACTCAAATCATGCACGGATTTCCCCAGAGACTGAGCTGCCTGTCAAATAAAAGATAGTGAAATTGACCTGAGAGAAAATGAAATGACCATTTTACTTAGATGACCAGATTGGGTCTCCAGAGAAAAGGAAAATCCGGTTTATCTAATGAAGACATCGGACTGTCAAGGCACTAAATTTGGTTTCCTGAGGGTTAAGAGATTAGGGTCTGGGGTCACCACAGCATTAATCAATACAGCCTTTCCGCCCTTTCTAATTGCCATAGGCTGGGGATCGTCAGTCCCTTGGCACTGCTAACGAAATGTATTGATCTCAGGTAAGTAAGATTGGGCCTCTGATGAAGCGAGGAATCTATCTCCATGAAGTTGCTTTGTGTACCAGCTACCACTGGGAGGAGCCAGCACTCCAGAATCTCAATCAATTTTCAGTAATGTGTCACTCTGCTTTGAAGGCAAATTAGTCTGACTTTCCTTACAGGGGGGTACAGGTCATGACTGGAAAATCCTTATTCTAGGTTTTAGTGTTAACAGAGCATTTATCACCAGTGTGATTGAAGTATAGAATTAGACATGGCAGGCATGCAGGTCCATGAAAGTCAAGTACTGCCAGCACCTACTGTAGCAGAACTGTGCATGTGTAAAACACAGGCCAAGTCTGACATCAGTCACTGAGGGTGGATTTTATTAGAAAGTGCTTAAGATTATACCCAATGAGAGTAGTATTGTCAGGTATAGCTAGGTATAAGCAGGGAAAGGAGAAAGCTTTGCAGCAACTTGGCACCACCTTCCTTTCCCTCATGATAAAAACTAAGAAGAGGGAAGGTCAGGAAGGTTCAGTTTGGCACTTAGCAGGATTCAGGGTGCCTGTATTGGCACACACAAGTGCTATATTAACGTGCTACCTGCTAGAGGTTTTATTGTCTCACTTCTTGCAGAACTGGGGTCAGCCGGGTCCTACAGCCAGTTCTTGAACTAACTGCACATATCTTTCCAGCTCTGCTGTTCAGTGACCTCAAGTCAACTATCTGGGTGTGTTTACATCACTGGAACCAGCAAAGACTACAAATCAGCACCCTCCACCACTGGATTTGGTTGTTAACCTTTTACTATGCTACCACTGGCTAGATCTGACAATCACCGAACTCAACAGCCAAGTACTTTCACTGATGAGAGCAAAAAAATCCAACCTGGGCTTCAGTGAGCTACTATAAGAATAGGAAGAGAGGAATGCCAAGGGCCTCGGGGGCCTAGATGTAGCAAAAATGGAGGCCAGATAGGACCAAAGTGACCAGGGGACCCGTGACCAAACCATTTCCATTCTGCTCAAAGGGAAAGAAGTGTTGAACAGCCCAGTAGGATGTATGAATCACCCAGCTGTATCAGGATTGAGCAAGTTGCTAATCCCTTTCCCATATTCAACACTTTGAAATGTGAACTAATTAAAATAAACACCCATCATTTTTTAAATGGGAAAATTTATTGTGAATCACCTTGCAACGCCAATGGCAAGATCCATGGAGTGCTCCACAGTAGGGACTCATCCTCAGGAAGTGGAATTCATTAGCAGACGTGATGGGACTTGTCCTCTGGTAGAGAGGAGGTTTAGGCAGCTTTGTAAAGTGCATATATCCTTGCTGCAAAGTGCTGATAACATTCCTCATTTGGTTGATCCCAGACAGGGAGATTTTGAGTATTACTTGGTTTAACTGACTCCCACCTAACTGCTTTTAATTTCTTAGCATTTGGCTTAAAGTAAAGAAATCTTACTTTGTCACCTACTGGTCAAAATCTATTTTCCCTTCTAGGTGCTTCCCCAGGGAAGAAAGCTATTGGTCGGTTGCCTGGCAATCTATTTTTATCTTAAGTTTTTTCAGTACTGACAATACTAAACATAAATACCTGAACATAATACTTGTTACCGAGTAGTTTAAGGATTATATCAAACTTTAACAACCCCTATGACTAACAGATAGTCTTATTTGTGAAAGACAAACAGACCAGAAAAAGCACACACCCAGCACAAACAAATGGTTAAGTCTTAAGCTCTTAATTATGTCTCCTAGCAAAATGATGGCTAATGAAAACCATATGTGTTCAAATAGTGGCAGCCTCCCAGATTCCTGCAGCTTCTGCAGGCCCAAGAGGGAGATGTCTCAGAACAGCCAAGCAGTAGCCAACTCTGACTGCCAGTCTGCTTAACTGGCATTTTCTCCACAAAGTGTTTTCTTCTTTATATCCAGGAAGACCTTTCTGGGGAATATATCCAATCTGTATCACAAGGTACTTTGTTTCCAACTGCTGGATCACTCTGAAAAAAAGCTGAAGAGGTGCTCTTGCAAAGATGTCTGGAGTTGTCAAGTTCTTGGTTGTGTTACATGTTTACAAGCTAGAGGAGGCCAATGCATTTCAGGTGTCAGGCTGATTCCATCATGCAAAAAGTCCCCTCAAAGAACATTCACACAAATATGAAGCTGCTCAAAAATAACATGGAGGTGAGGGTGACGGGCTTTACACAAAGTTTAGTGAGAAGACATAATGATACAGAAGAAGTGGACTTTGCAAATATATTTTTCTAAATGGTCTGACCTTGGTCTGACTGCTGACATCATCTGAACGGTTGGAAGGCCTCAAAGGATGGTTCCAAGGACCAAATGGCTGATCCTCTGTCTCAAACTAGACACAGAGAGTCATAGCTAGGAGGTCCTTTATGGATACTACTGCTGAGGGCAGGACGCTGGAAAGAGTGAGCTTCAGCCTCCAATAGTCCTTAGGCTCCTTTTGAACTAGCCTTGCTGTTCTGGGTTGTCTTTTGTGATTTGGCTTGGTGTGTCTAGGTATAAAACATAAGGGCTTATTAAGTGCTAATCACCATTTAGATAGTGTTGCTTCTTTAGTAGTCCCTATTTTGTTCTCTTAATGACAGACCACAAAGCGAAATCTGTTTGGTTTATCTTGACAATAAATAAAAAGCCAGGCAAACAAGGGCCCCTAGATGTGTACCCCATCTGAGTGTCCAAAGGTTTTCTGGTCCTCAGTAGCCAGTAGGGCTACCTATTCTACAGGTCAGGTCTTCCATGATCCTCCCTACTGTTTATGTGTATAATGCATGTTCTGTGATCGCTCCCCAAATTCCTTTACCCAAATGGGAAAGGTGGATAGATAGGTAATTTCTTATTTACATGCATTTCTCCTAAGATTTAAATTGCTTTCCTGCTAGTATTTCCTGACATCATAAGTCTGTGTGAAATATACAACATATGGGAACCATTTCCATCTGGTCCAAAAGAAAATAAGAATCTGCCTATATTGTAATTAGCTTCTAGACTTAATATGTTTAGGTCTAATCCACGATTACATTGGTTGATTTTTTTTTTAATTTGCTTTTGGATAATTGAATTTAAAAGTGTAGTGGTTATAAGATGACTAAAGTCCAGCCTACAACTTCCTGTTTGGACGACAGGAAGAACTACGTAGTGTTTAGCAATAGTTATAGTTCTAGATTCTTACTGCCTTTAAAAATAAAAAACTAGAGGAAAAGCATTTTCTTTTTTTAAATACAGCTTCTTTAGCAGAAGTAATAGATTCTTTAGGTAATAAAATAGGTACTGATGGTGTTTTGGGTGATGAGTAACTGGTGGCAGTTGTATAAATTCTTCATCCTTAAAATCAAGAACTAAGCGGTGGGTTACTGATTTTTTTTTAAAATATGCATTAGATCTACAGCAACAGCTATCACTACCAGGAACTTTGTAACAGCTAATTCATATTCTGGCACAGGATGCAAGAGATAAAATCTGGAATCCAATTTTATATAATCAAATGTTGAACTTTCTTAGAAGCAGATAGAACTGTTCAATAACTACTCTTTATTAGAAAACACCATTATATTGAAATTCAACTAAGAAGGGTAAAAAATAGAGAACTTATTTTCATTTATAACCTAATTAATTAAATGAAATGTAATTATCTAACCTTAGTTCCTTTCAGTTGAGGAGCAATATCCACCATATCCTCTTTAGATTTAGGGGAAGTAGTTGATTCCACAGGAATACTTGTCTCTGGTGGCTAGGAAGAGAAATACTTTCATAAGCATAAGCTTTCTTCTCCTCTTAAAACTCAGAGGCACTTCTATAGTAGTCAATACTTGTCAGCAGTTTGCTTCCCACTAAATCCCTAACTTCCTCCAATAATACCGCTGATGAGTAACATACGAAGTATGTCCCTGAGTTAAGAGTTTCGTTAAGAGTTTCGAGCACCCTGTATACAATAGGTGCATTCTAATCAGCTTTTAGTAGTTAAGACCCTCAATAACAAGCCATTACTTTGTAAGTTCTGTCCTGTTCTCAGTTTCAAAAAAACAAAAAGCCAAAAAAAAAAAGTTATCATTTCTCAGTGACTCCTCTGTTTGTAACCTAAGTCAAAATTGACAGTTTTATCATTTTTGGTATCTATTAATAAACAGTAAATTTATAGATTTATTAAAATGGTAGGTGTTGCTTAACAAAAGCTCCTGCAACATAAGGAAATGGAATGGGCTAGTTAACCTGTCTTCAAGAATTACATTAGATTTGAAAAATAAATAAAATCACTGTCATTAGTAATAAGTATTTTCTTTGTGTGGCTGGGAACTAATAAATGTAATTTGATGTCTCTAAATTCTTTACAGAACCTAACATGTTACTTACTTTCATTTTTTTAATGTATGGAGGACAGAAGTTTAGAAACGGATTTTTTTTTTTTTTTAAGATTTATTTATTTGTACATACAGAACCGGGGTACAGGCTAGAGGCTCAGGGGCGGTGAGAGGCTTCACCAGAGACAGAGTGGGGAGCAGAACAGGCAGATCGACGAAGCACACTGCTGAGGGGAGCAGCGGGTGGGTCAGGAGAGGGCTGCCACACCATGTGGTCACCTCCGGGGCAGGCGGGAATCGAACTCATGCGGAAGTGGCTTTAGCTTCTCAGTGCAGTGCTTTAACCCGCTGCGCCACCAGGGAGGGCCCAGAAACAGGGATTTTAAATAAACAATAACCGTTATATTTCCAGGAGTCTATCATTTTGTCCTAATGTCTAGGTCTTTCTCTACCATTTCAGAAAGCAACATCTGACTGAAGAGTTTATGCCCATCTAGAATAATTATGAGAACCAAATTTAATTGTGAACCATAGTGCTGCTTGCTCCTGAGAGCAGTCTAAGAATGACAAATAACTGATTCGTTTTAAAGACCAATGATAGAGTAAGACCCCACTAACCTGCCTTTTAGAGCTGTACTCTAAAATTGCTCCTAATTTCCTAGAATCCTTCCTGAACAATGCCCAAATTCATATTATCTCTGGAAATATGGAAAGAGAGAAAGCAAGATGGTGTATCTAAAGAGTAAGCTTGATGTGGGAGTTCATGTATTTTTCATTGGCTTGTCCAAAAAGTCAACAGAATATGATTACAAATGCTTGTTTCCTCACTCCAGAGTACTTAGTCTAATCTCCTAAGCCCTATAAACAGCATCTATAATGATCTTTCCTTTCTCGTGCAGGTTTTGAATTAGACATGAAGCCACAAATAGAGGTATGAGAGACCCTTTCTGATAACCAGTCATCTGTTCTGATGACTGCCAATCCTGGGTCAATAAAACGCCAGAAGAACAAAAGGTGCTGAGTTAAAGGCAACAAAAATGATGAAGGATGTAAGGTGAAGGAAGACATTAAGCTTACATTCAAGATTTATCCATCCATTGCTGAGAAATTAATAGGTGGGCCCTCCCTGGTGGTACAATAGGTTAAAGAACAGCAATGAGAACTGGCCAAGGCCCTTTAGGTGCAAGTTGGATCCTCACCCCAGAGGTGATCCACATGTTCCCGCTGCTCCCCTCAGCAGTGTACTTGTCAATCTGCCTACTCTGCTCCCCACTCTGACTCTGGTGAATCTTCTCACCGCCCCTGCACCTCTGGCCTGTACCCAAGTTCTGTATGCATAAATAAATAAATCTTTAAAAAAAAAAAGAAATTAATAGGAGTCCGGACAAATGAAACAAACATGAAAGAGCAAATAAAAGTCTACCAAAAAAAAAAAAAAAAAAGTCTACCAATGACACCTAGATAGTTTAAGGAGAAAGAATAAATCAGAATTAAATCAAGATGGAATTAAAGATAATAACAGTGCCTGTAATCAGCCCTTTTGTTCTTTTGGTAATTTAAGGGATTTTAATTTCTTTAGGAACTTTTAAAAGATTTTAAAGCCATCTGAGGGCCTTCCCTAGTGGCTCAACTGGATTAAGCACAGCACTGTGAAGCTGTCTACAGTAGCTGCAGCATGAGTTCAATGCCTGGCCAGGGAGGTGACCCATATGGCTTGGCAGACCTCTCCTGTCTCCCCCCTGCTCCCCTCAGCAGTGTGTTTCAGCACATCTACCTGTTCTGCTCCCCACTCTGTCTCTGGTGAATCCTATTACCCCCCCCCCCCACACACACACACACACATCTCTGAACTGTACACCAATTCTTGCATGCATAAATAAATCTTTTAAAAAAATAAAGCCATTGGAGGCCCTCCCTGGTGGCGCATCAGGTTAAAGAACAGCACTAAGAAGCTAAAGCCACTTCAGCATGAGTACGATCCCTGCCCTGGGAGGTGACCACATGGCGTGGCAGACCTCTCCTGACCCGCCTGCTGCTCCCCTCAGGAGTATCCTTTGTCAATCTGCCTGTTTCTGCTCCCCACTCTGTCTCTGGTGACTCTTCTGACCGCCCATGCACTTCTGGCCTGTATTCCAGTTCTGTATGCATAAATAAATAAATCTTTAAAAAAATAAAGCCATTTGAGCTAAATTCCAAAAGATGACAAAAGAAATGTCTATTCTGAGTGTGAGAGATGAAATAAGACATCTGTGGAGAGGCTCTGGTTTCAGAAGTCCAGATTCTCCATGAACAAGTTACTCACCTCTTCACTTAGTGGTATCTCAATTGGCTGTGGCTTCACATCTATCAGGTAGAAGGTTCGTGACAAAAGCAAAAGAGAAGGAGGGACATTTTCCTTCAGGTGGAGGTCCTGCCACTGGAGAAAGGGAGAGAAATAAAACATGATAGAATCATGGAATGTGAAAGCTATATACAATCCATAGTCATCTACTGTTTCTTTGGTTTTAACTGCTTCCCCAAGTGTATGCTGACAACTAATGGAAGGACAAGAGTAAGGATTGGCTGTACTGCAACTCATTCACTACAATGAGATTGCTTTCAGGGTTGAAGAGGGAATGTTCAGGGCCCTACTTGGTGGCTTAACGGATTAGGTGCAGCACTATGAGGCTGGCTACAGCCACCTTAGCACAAGTTCAATCCCTGTCGAGGAGGTGACCACATGGCATAGCAGACCTCTCCTGGCCTGCCTGCTGCTCCCCTCAGCAGTGTATTTCGTTGATCTGCCTGTTCTGCTCCCCACTCTGTCCCTGGTGAATCCTCTCACCCTCCGCATCTCTGGCCTGTACCCCAGTTCTGTGTGAATAAATAAATCTTAAAAAAAAAAATGAGAATGAGCTAGAAAGAGAAAGAAAAATACCGGATGGTTTCCCTCATAGCAGGAGTATAATGGACCAGACATGAGAATAATGAACAGCCATATACCAGAGACATTTTGTGGGGGTTGAGTGGGGAATGGGATCAAAAACGGGGGTGGGGGGGAGGGAAGTGCACTGGACTATGGTGATGGCACATGAGTGACTCTGTGATGGGAAACCCACGGGGATTACAATTGAGATGAAAAAAAAATGTACAAAATGATGTAAAAATAAACTATTATATTAAAAAAAGAAAAAGAAAAAAATGAGAATGAAAGTTTTAAATACCAAAAATACATGCACAGCAGTCCAAAAGTTCAAATGTAATCAATAAAAATAATCCCACCCTTTTTTAAACAAGATTTATTTATTTATGCACATGAGAACTGGAATACAGGCCAGTGGTGTGGGTGGTGAGAGTATTCACCAGAGACAGAGTGGGGAACAGAACAGGCAGCTCTACTGAAACACACTACTGAGGGGAACAGTAGGTGAGACATGAGAGGTCTGCTGCTTGTGCTATGTGGGTCAACTCCTTGGATGTGGATAGAACTCATGCCACAGTGGCTTCCCACAGCTTCACAGTGCTGAGACTTAATACCTTGCACCACCAGGGAGGCCCTAATTCTACCTTCTATCCCTATTCTCCAGTTACCCTGTTTCGCTCCTTAAGAGGTAACCACTGGTTGCTGGGAAAACTGGGAAGCTACATGCAAAAAAATGAAACTAGATCACTACCTCATACCACACACAAAAATCAACTCGAAATGGATTAAAGACCTAGACAAAAGAACAGAAGACATAAAATACCTGGAAGCAAAGATGGGCCAAACACTACATGACATACACTTCAGTAACATCTTTAAAGTTACAGCACCCAATGCAATGATAGTGAAGGAAAGGATAAATAGATGGGACTACATCAAGTTAAAGAGCTTCTGTACAGCAAAAGAGACATTACAAAAAACAAACAGACAGCCCACTAATTGGGAAAACATTTTCTCACACAAAAGTAGTGATAAAGGACTAATCACACAAATATACGGAGAACTGATGAAACTCAACAAAAATAAACAACCCCATCAAAAAATGGGCAGAAGAGCTAAAAAGACACTTCTTCAAAGAGGAAATGCAGACAGCCAACAAGCATATGAAAAAATTTCCAGCATCACCTATAATAAGGGAGATGCAAATTAAAATCACAATGAGATACCGCTTCAACCCAGTGAAAATGGCACATCTTAAAAGCGAGGATGTGGAGAAAAAGCAACTCTCCTGCACTGCTGGTGGGAATTTAAATGAGTACAACCACTATGGAAAACTGTTCGGTGGTTCCTCAAACTGCTAAACATGGAGCTTCCCTATGACCCAGCAATCCCACTCCTAGGTATCTACCCAAAAGACACAAAAACACTGATTCAAAAAGACACCTGCACCCCCATGTTTATTGCTGCTTTATTTACAATTGGAAAAACATGGAAACAGCCCAAATGCCCAAAAGTGGATGACTGGATTAAAAAGATGTGGTACATATACATGATGACTATTACTCAGCAACCAAAAAAATAAATAAATGAACACATGCCTTTTACAGCAACATGGATGGAGCTGGAAAAGATCATGCTTAGTGAAATAAGCCAGAAAGAAAAGGAAAAATACCAGATAGTTTCACTCATTGCAGGAGTATAACAGACCAGGAGAGAAAATAATATATAATGAACAGCCATATACCAGAGACATTTTATGGGTGTGGAGTGGGGAATGGGATCAAAAACAGTGGCGGTAAGAAAATGCACTGGATTATGGTGATGGCATATGGGTGATGTGGTGATGGGAAACCCATGGGGATTACAACTGAGATGAAAAAATGCACAAAATGATGTAAAAAGAAACTATTATATATAAAAAGCAACCACTGGTACTAAATCCTTATGACTTTCAATATATAGCCTATACATATATAGTATATGTGTCTATATATTTTCTTATCTTTACACAAAGGATGGCATATATATGCTTTTGTCCTTTTTTTTTCCACTGAGATCTCTTAGGGACTGATTCATATCAGTAGCTGCAGCACTGCCTCCTTTTCAACATCTATAAAGCATTCCATTGTATGAAAATTCCATAATTTGAGTATTCTACTTATGAACTTTAGGTTCTCTCAAATTTTTTGCTATAATAAACGATGCTGTGAAGGATAATCCTGTAACTAAATTATTTTGCACATACACAATAACCTAGGTAAATTGCTAGGTCAAAGAGTAAATGCTTTTTTAAATTTTGGAAGGCACTGCTATGAATTAATATCGATAGAGGTTTTACCAACAGTGCATGCATGCTCCCACCCCACATCCTCACTTTGCAGTGTCATCAAACTCTGATCTTCCAATATAGTGGTGAATATGGTATCTCTCATAGTTTTAATTCATCTTATCATGAGGCTAAAGATTTCTCATGTGTTTCTCATATAAACATGTAATATCTGCCCATATCCTAACACAGGATTTTTTGAATAATATATAGTTTGAAAGGAAAAAAAAGGACAAAATAATTTTTAAAATATATATATAATATATATGCCCCCCCCCCCACTGCCCTGGTGGTAAGTCTCAGCACTATAAGCTATCAGTAGTCACTGCAGCAGAGCAGGAGTTAGATCCTTGGCCAGGGAGTGACCCACATGGTGTGGTAGGCCTCTCCTGTCTCACCTGCACTCCTCTCAGCAATGTATTTCAACAGATCTGCCTATTCTGCTCCCTGCTCTGTCTCTGGTGAATCCTGTCACCCTCCCCACACCTCTGGCCTGTACCCCAGCTCTTGCATGCATAAATAAATACATCTGTTTTTAAATAAAATATATACATACATATTCTGATTGTAGACTAGTAGATTACAAAAACATGAAAAAACATGAAAATAAAAATTATAAATAGTAAATAAAGTCATTCACACCCCTACCACTTAAGCATAATCAATGAAAATATTTTGGCATACATACATGTTTTATTTAATGGGAAAAATACATAATATGAAATGCCCTAACTGAATTAGTATCCTCACTCCTTTATAGTGGGGTTATAACTCTTTCAAGAAAGCCTTGTATAGAGATGTTCATCTTCCTACCAGAGAGTCCAACACGTAAAAAGAAATAGCTACGTAACATGGTTTCAAAGTCACAGCAATATCTCCTATCACCAAATAATTTGTGCACACTTCATAGCACTTTTTACAGTTATAGGAATGAGAATTTGAATGGGAGTTAACTCATATGTTTTAAATCATTGACAATGCTAGTTAAAAGACAAATATGGTATATGAAGGAAAATACTAAACATCTATAACCAAAGCTAGCACTTCACATTGGTATAGGGCACTGGTGGGGAAAGCAGCCCCAGGTGAGCATGTTTAGGCCATCTCATGGATTTACTCAAATTACAAGCCTTGCATTAGCTTTTGCCAGACCCTCGCAGAACTTAGAGTAGACAAAATTCTCAAATGATCTTGAGATTCCTGTCCCTGATACACCCATGCCTTCTCCCAATTATTCCAACACTAATCTAGGTACTGCTAAAAAGGAATTTTGCTGATATCATTAAGGCCTCAAGTCAGTATACCTTGAGATACGAAGTTGAATACCCTGGTAGTTCTCACACAAGATCATTAAATATGGGGCTAGAGGTCAAAAACTGGACTGCTGAGCGGTTGCCATGTGAGGTCTCCATGCTGGCCTTGTAGACAGAGAGGACCTAAAGAGAGGAATGCAAGTGGCCTCTAGCGTGTAGGGCAGACTGCAGTTTACCACCAGTGAAGAACCTCAGTTCTACAGCTTCAAGGAGCTAAATACAGTCAAAGAAAGGAACCAGCATGGAATGGAGTCTTCCCAACATCCAGGAAGAAATGTAGCCTGCACGTTAAACTCAGAACTGTGAGTTAATAAATGGATGTTGTTTTCGGTCATTAAGATTGTCTTATGCAGCAATGAGAAATGAATACAGTACTGTCTCAGTCAAAATCAAATCTACCTTATTCAGCGACTCACTGCTCAATAAAATAGTTCACTGCAAAATGGAAATCACAAAATGAGTTCTGCAAATTGCAGGAGGGAGAGTTCTAATGAGAAGGCTCAGGAAAGCTGCTACTTGCCTCTGTCAGCTGTTGTCTCAGTTGTTCTTCAGTGAGACCCAGCGATCTCATCCCTCGGGCCCTACAGGCAGTTTGTAGTTCTGACACGCTCAAAGCACTCACTCCTTCTTTGGCAATTATCTGAAAGAAACGTAAGGAATAATATTAGACTGTTTGGTTCCAATTTTACCTAATCCCTAAATTTCCACAAATGAGAGGAAAGGCAAAATCTAATGCTTTCTCATTTTGTCCCCTGCAAAGACTAGGAATCTGAGAAACAAAGTGACTTCAGAAGGTGTAGCAGTTGATATGAAGGCAATTCTGCAACCAGGTATTTATTATATCAGAGATATTTACATAACTCCTCCCTAACATTCAGTTACCTCCCTAACATTCAGTAATTCTTTCCTCTTTTGATTTGCATTTCACCTGGTTATGACATCTCCTCTCTCCTTTCATGGCAGCTTCAGCATTCATAATAAAAATTTGCACTTGAAAAGCATTAATGTAATATTTGCTGCATGTCCCAGAAGTAGTTTTCCCCTGTTTTCTCCCAATCACCACCCCAGGAATGGCCCTAACTCCATGGTTCACAAACTTCCCTCCATAAACAACTTAGTCAAGTTTCTGCTTGATATGACCCAAAACTATTGTTCTTCTGGGAACAGTACTGGTTATTCCAAAGTTCTGAAAGCAACAAATGAACTCTAAATGGGGCCAATGGGAATATACTTTCTCAGTTCTGGGAATCCTGCTCTCTCAGGCAGAACGCTTTAAAGCAGCTGATTAGGATTCAAGAAACATTCTTCCCATTTTTTTAAAGAGATCTAATTAGTAGTTATAGTCCAACTGGTGCCTTTCTTTCACAAGATGGCTAGACTCTGCTTTCCCTTTCTGCATTACATTTGCCACCCCCATCTCACCAGATCAACTCATCCAGCAGAATATTTACTTTGGTCATAGCTTAGTGGGGTGGGGGGTTGGGGGGGCAGTACAGGTGTTGGGACAGGGCACTGTCCTTAGTAGAGAAAGACTCAAGAGTCCACTGAGCTGCTGTTCCTTCTTAGAGGGTCCTACTGCTTTAGATAAGTCCCAGCAAAAAATCCAAATTACTAAGTGCTTATGATGATCTTCACAAGAAAATGGGTGAGAGTACAACAGACAACTCCTAAAATGAGTAGTTAAGGTGCCAGCTCTCATGGTAATGGTTGTTTAAATCACTCATTTTGGCAGAACCAGTCTATGAGCAGAAGCTACTTCATTTTATCTCAAAGTCACCCTATGATCTCTCTCAATGCCTTGCTAATTTCCTAAAGTGATATTTAAGTTCTTACTTCATCATCTGCTTTTATAGACTTTAGCCTCTGCAGGAGTTGAAAGCGAAGCAGATTGTTGGTTCCAAAATATTGTAACTCTAGCAGTTTGCAAAGGGCAACCAGTTGAGGTCGGTCTAGGTGTTCCAGGGTTAGCTGATCCTCAAAGAGTTTGGAAAACTGAATTATGTCCTTTGTGGAGGGCTTGTGGCCTGTCTGGACCTAAACAGTGGGACAAAGAGGCTAATTAAAATGTATTTCCTACCTAATTTAATTTACTCTGTAAACTCTTTGAAAGACAGGTCAAAGCAGTTACGGACTCTGACTTATGTCTAGAAATGGGCCTTCTGGCCCATTTTATTTCTTAAAGAGGAATAAAAAAATTCTGAAGTCAGTCTAAATTAGCTGAAAACTTAGTAGTAGTTCAAAAGTTTGACTCAAGAAGCTACCAATGTCTTCCACATGTTGATTACATTCAGTTTATCTGGAAGTTTTTCTGCAAACTACTATAATTGTTTGCAATATTTTCAAGTATATAACTTAGATATCTGCATATTCAGGTTGTGAATAGTTTAGAAAGCCCATGATGATGTGAATTTTTCATATAATTGCCATCCCAGGAGTTTGTTTGGTTTATATAAACTGACACCTGTTTGACATAGGTTGAAAACCGCGTAGAGGCTTCTCCCAATTTGGTTCTGTTCCTCTTTGCCATTTCTGTGATAGTTTCTTGAAGAAATTTTGCTAGTTCCAACTTTGCAGCCATTTTCTTTTTCTGTTTTTCTTCCTTAATAGTAGAAAAGGGAAAAGTTCGTCAATTCTTCATGATTACAGCTAATAAAGATGAAAGGATTACTGTCTCCTTATTATTGCTTATCCCTATATCATATATTAATAATCTGTTCAGGCCAAATTAGATGGGTTTTGTAAGAATCAAAGCAAGTAAAAAGTAGCTTCTGTTTGCAATTTACTTACTAAATCTTTTTATTTTTCATTGACATAATGGTCATAAATATTTGACAGATTCAAAATGTCCCCTTAGGGGTTCCCTTGTGGTCTAGGGGTTAAATCTCAGTGTTATCAAGCTATCACTCTTTTTTTTTTTTAAAGATTATTTATTTATACATACAGAACTGGGGTACAGGCCAGAGGCTCGGGGTGGTGAGAGACTTCACCAGAGACAGAGTGGGAAGCAGAACAGGAAGACTGATGAAGTACACTGCTGAGGGGAGCAGCGGGCGGGTCAGGAGAGGTCTGCCACACCATGTGGTCACCTCCGGGGCAGGTGGGGATCGAACTCATGCGGAAGTGGCTTTAGATTCTCAGTGCAGTGCTTTAACCCGCTGCGCCACCAGGGAGGGCCCTCAAGCTATCACTCTTACAACCTAAATTCAATCCTGGCCAAGGAGCTAATCCAAGTTATGGTGCAGCAGACCTCTCCTGTCTCATCCCTGCTCCCCTTAGCTGTGTACTTCAGTAAATCCACCTGTTCTGCTCTCCACTTTGTCTCTCAATCCTCTCACCCCCCCCCCTTACTTCTGGCTTACACCCAGTTCTTATATACATTAAATAAGTAAATAATTTTTTTTTTAAATCACACAGTAGGGGCTTCCCTGGTGACCCAGGGGTTAGTGACTGTGTTATCAAGCTATTCCCAGCCACTGCAGCATAAGTTCAATTTCCTGGCTGGCTGGGGACCTAACCTACATGGCACAGCAGACCTCTTCTGTCTGGACCACTGCTCCTTTTAACAGTGTATTTCAGTACATCTACCTGTTCTTCTCTCAACTCTGTCTCTGGTGAATCCTCTCATTGCCCCTCCCTCTGGCCTGCACCCCAGTTATTGTATGCATAAAAGGAATATTTTTTAAATCACACAATGGCATTACCACCATTACAACCCATTCATCCATTTCATTATTCCATATTCACCCATCCATCCATTTATTCATTTATTGAACAGCTAGATACTGGGGATAATGTGAACTAAAGCAAGCAAGAATTCCTCATAGAATTTCTAGCCTAATAGCATACAAATACTAGTGACTAATGATAATACGGTACTCCACAAATTAATATAAAAGTATAATGCATAAGTATTATGAAAGCGAAATGCATGGTACAATGATGTGATATAAACAGAAATTATTTATTTCTTCACAGAATAAAGCAAACAAGAAAGCATTTTCTAAGTTTGTTGCTCTAGTGTGTACATAATGTGTATAGATATGTGTTTGGAGAATGCATGGTGCTGAGTAAAGCAGAAGATACAGATAAATCACTTTATTCCCCCAACTTGCTGCATTCACTCACATCTTCCTTGGAATCACCTAAGCATTAAATCTAGATCCTGATTACTTCAATTACAGTCAGGTAATTAAATTCTACCCCTTAATGTATCTCAAATCTTCAAGATTTTTTTTCCTAGTACCACTTTTTATAATTTAAGCTTGTCATCTCTCTCTTACAATATTATAGCATTCCAGCTGATTTCTCAGCTTGATTCTGCCCTTCCTGCTAGCACTTATTTTTCTAAAACATGGGTGTAATCATTATTTATCCCCTGCTTAATTTCACCTTCCATTATTCAGTATTGTCAATTCAATGCCTGAATTTCTCAGGGTGGTAGATAATATCCAACTTGATCCCAACATGTCATTTTCTACCATGGATCCCTTTGTATTAGCTACTCCAACCACATTGGTTCTTTCCAGCCAGTGATCTCTGCGTATGTCAGACTTTTTTACATCACGATGCCATTCTAAGTAAGTGCTACTCTTTCAATTTAGAATGTCTTTCAAGCATTGGGGTAAAATCTCACCACTGTTTAAAGCCCAGTTGTAAAAATACTTTTTTGTAAAACACTTCCCATTCTGATTTATTTCTTTTTTCCTTTTTTTTTTTAAGATTTATTTATTTATTTATTTGTTTATTTATTTATTTATGCATACAGAACTGGGATACAGGCCAGAGGTGCAAGGGCAATGAGAGGATTCACCAGAGACAGAGTGGGGAGCAGAATAGGGAGATCTACGAAATCTCCTGAGGGGAGCAGTGGGCGGGAGAGGTCTGCTGTACCATGTGAGTCACCTCCCCAGCTGGGGATCAAACTTTTGCTGAGGTGGCTGGCTGTGGCTTGCTTCACAGTGCTGTGCTTTAACCTGGTGCACCACCACAGAGGGCCCCCATTCTGATTTAAAAGTTGTTCTTATAATGTTGTGTTTATGCCTTTATGCTACTGTCTGGTAGAGCAACCCAAAATGGAAAGAGGAAGTTTTTCCTATTTTCTAGGCCATTACCTTCATAGTGACATTCAAAAAAGCAATAGTCTCTTCTTAGAGACTATTCATAAGGTCTGTTGAACGAATAAATCTCACCTACCATCTATCACTGGGGATTTTGGTTTCATTATTTTTAACAGTTAAAATTCAATGGAGGGCCCTCCCTGGTGGCGCAGCGGGTTAAAGCACAGCACTAAGAAGCTAAAGCCACTTCTGCATGAGTTTGATTCCCGCCTGCCCCGGAGGTGACCACATGGCGTGGCAGACCTCTCCTGACCCGCCCGCTGCTCCCCTCAGCAGTGTACTTCGTGGATCTGCCTGTTCTGCACCCCACTCTGTCTCTGGTGAATCCTCTCACCCTCTGCATCTCTGACCTGTACCCCAGTTCTGTACTAATAAATAAATAAATCTTTAAAAAAAAATTCAATGGAGAAGGGTCAGTATTTTCAATAAATAGTACTTGAAAAACTAGGTATCCACCTGCAGAAAAATTATTACTGACACTGAGGATATAACTGTCACAAAAATTAACACAAAATATAGATCATACATGTAAATGTAAAACTCAAAACTATAAAAGTCCTGAAAAAAAAAAACAGGAGAAAATACAGGTAACTTTTTGTTTGGCAATGAGTTTTTAGATAAAATACCAATAGCACACTCCAAGAAAGAAAAAAACTGATAAATTTTACTTTATTAAAATTGAAGCATGTGCTATGAAAATACAAATCAAATTTGGAGAATATAAAGACAAGTCACAGGCTAAGCGAAGAATTTGCAAAAGCATATCTGAAAAAGGACTTAGATCCAAATTATGCAAGGAATTCTTAAAACTTAACAACATGTAAAACAAACTGGACAGAATAACTAAGCAAAAATCTCCCAAAGAAGATTCATAGGTGGCAAATAAGAATATTAAAAGATCAACATTTTGTTATTAAGGAATTACAATTTTAAGTAATAGACACCTGAGAGGAAAAAGCAAACATTGTACAAAAATGAACAACGATATAAAATATATAGGGAGATAACACTAAAGAATGAGATACCATTATTACAATGGTTAGTATTCAGCACTAGCAACACTAAATGAAGAAGATTTGGATAAGGGGAACTCTCGTTGCTGGTAGAGAATACAAAATATTGCAACCACATTAGATGACAGGTTAGTGAATACCTACATAGCTAAGCATAGTCTTACAAGATGCTCTAGAATTGTTCTCCCAGATATTTACCCAACTGAGCTGAAAGCTTACGTTGACACAAAAACCTACACATGAATGTTTTATAGCAACTTTTATTCATACGTGCACCAAATTAGAAGCAACCAAGATGTCCTTCATCTTGGAGAAATAAACATCTTTACAAGGAAATATTGTGTGGTGAGAGAAAGAATTGAGCTGTAAAAAGATAAGGAGAAAACTTAATTGCATATTGCTAAGTGAAAGAAATCAGTTTGAAAAAGCTACAATGTATGGTTCCAATTGCATGATATTCTTGAAAAGGCAAAACTCTAGAAAGAACAAAAAGATCAGTGGCTTCTGGGGTTGTAGTATGAAAAAAGAAGAGGAACAGGTGGAACAAAAGGAATTTTGGGGGGCACTGAAACTATTCTGTATGATACTGTACTTGTAGACACATTTGTCAAAACCCATAGAATTGTGTAACACAGATTAGATATTAACATAAAGCATGAGCTTTAATTAACAATAGTATACAGATATTGGTTCTTTATTAATAACAAATGCACCACACTAATGCAAAATGTTAATAATAAGAGAAATTGGGGGGGAGGAGGAGATAGAAGAAGATACCCATGGTGTCCATGCTTTCTGCTGAATTATTCTATAAATCTAAAGCTGCTCTTAAAAAAAAAAGTTTATTGATAAGAACAAGGTTAAAGTCCTACCTACCTTTTTGGATTGCCTTTCAAAAGTTGATGGCAACATCTCTGGGAAGAGTTTCACAAATACTGGCAATAAGAATTCCATGAAGGGTACAATTACGAACACCATAAATGGAACCAGCCGGAACAAATCAACACAAGTTCTCAAAAGCTAAAGAATTAAATGCATATGTAATATTCATTATTTTAGGACATGCCAAAACAAAAACAAAAGTGCTTGCCTTTGTTTTTAAAGTGTTAAAAACCAAAGGCAGATTTTTCTGCAACTGTTTATAAAATAGAAAGGTGGCACTTTCCTCTTTACCATAGCTCTGAAGTAATATTTGTAGGAGATCTGCAAGAAAATCTATGGTATCTGTTAGCCTTCATCTAAGTTTAGGGATTTTTACTATAATAACATAGCAGTTTTTAAAATTGATTTTTCAAATGCATATAGTTGATATATTAACAATGTTTGTATTTCAGATGTGCAGATCACACCTGAAATCCCTTAATTACTTGGAGAGATTAGAAAGCAACTGTAACCATTCTATAAGCAAACTTATACAAATTCTAGGAATCTCAACTAAAGTTGTACAGCAAATCAATGGCACTAAGTAATTCTGGTCGTTACCACTGGCTACTATTCCTATTTTGGGATTTTTATGATGAAGTTTAACTTAACCTTAAAACTTTAAAATAGTTCATTTAACCTTAAATATTTTTCTTTCTTAGATTTTCTTTTTTAAATAAGATTCTTGCCTACCCTTCGTCTTTCTCGTCTGGTCAGCACCTGTCCATGCAATAGCCTCCAAACCATCCTGATGGCAATTTTTGTATCAATCCAAAGCAAATAGAATCCATTATAATAATATTTTAATTCATCCACAATTCTTTGCCTGTAAGATCGTTTTTCTTCCTTAATCTTCGTGCCAGTTTCTTTTGTGGGCTGTGGGCTTGTCACCTGTGGCTTTTGTGTGGTTTGTTCCAGTTGAGGTTTACCAGGGACCTCTTGTAGCCAACAAGTTGATGTGTGTAGCTTTTGTATTATTCTAGTTCGTACATGAAGTACTTTACTGGCTGGATGGCTATAATAAGAGAACTTCTTGCTGCCATAGTTCTTCATATATGTTTTATTTAAATGGATATCTGGCAAGTGAAGAAGTGCAAGTGATGGGACATAACAAGCGCAGACAGGATGGACAAAATGGCTAGGGAATCTGGAAAAAAGCAAGCGACAACCTCTGAGTTGAGCACATACTGTGACAAATGTAAAAGTTAAAGAATTAGGGCCTCCCTGTTGGCACAGGGGTTAAAGTCTCAGTGTATCAAGCTGTGGCCAGCCACTTGGGAATGAGATCTGCATTTCTTGTTCTGCTGCTCCCCTCAGCAGTGTATTTCAGCAGATCTGTCTGTTCTGCTCCCCACTCTGTCTCTGGTGAAACTTCTCACCACCACCCCCACCTCTGGCCTACACCCTAGTTCTTGTATGCATAAATAAATACAAATAAATCTTTTTTCTTTAAGTTAAAGAATTAGATTTTTTTACCTAGCTAACACAAAACAGTAATTTTTCAGCTGTATTTTAGAAGCAGGTGCTATATATTAATGAATGAAATATAACTTTTCTATACCAGTTATAGAACAGTATACTTTATAGTTGAATGATACAATCTATGAGAAAAAAAAATAATTCCTAATAGTAATTTCTACATTAGCAGGTAGAAACTCTGCAACTATTAATTAAAAAATCTAATAGCAAACATATTTCCACCAGGGTTTATGTTTTAAGTTTTGTCTCTAGTACTATCATAAAACAAGTAGAAGATTTGTTTCTTTAGCTATTTTACTGACAATTGGAATATTGTTTGAATGAAACAGCCTGGCACCTGTGGGGATTAATCATTTACATAATTCTGCTTCCTCAGTGTAGTACCGATGGGTTCTCTCAAAAGAATGCCACTGACAGCCAATATGCTCTTAGGATTCTTCAAGAAAGTTGGAAATGACTGGGCACCTCAGTCATCGATGTCTACATTCTAGTTTTATAGTAGTTTAATTTTCTGTTAAATGAGCACCTCAGATTTTTGAAAATAAAAAATTAGACCCATTTAGAAGACAAAGGGAATTTTTTTTTTTTTTTGCAAAGAGATGGCTTTTTTCCCCATTTTTTTCAGACTGTTTTTGGAGCATGCTAAGATAAGACATTCTTTGAACGACCAAAGGGAAAATGTAAAATATCTGACACATGCTAAGTTCTCAGTGAGTATTCTCTGGAATAAGTGATAACAGATTTTATTGGGACAGGTAGGATGTATGTCTTAAAACTGACTTGTTTGCCAGCCATTTTACTCCTTCTTCATATCTAAGGGCCCCATGTAATATTCATTAATTATAGAGGTGTCACTCTAAAACTATGACATCTTCTATCCTACCTATACCACACTTCTACAAAATCAGCCAGAGTTCTAAAGCACATAGAAAAGTTGGGTAAGTTTAAATACATTAGAATATCAGCTCCCTAAGAAACAAACCTATCTTTGGTTAGTCCAGTCCTTAGTTAATCCTGGCTAAATCTATTCTTTTTTTTTATTATTTTTTTAAAGATTAATTATTCATACAGAACTGAAGTATACATCTGAGGGGAGCAGCAGGCGGACCAGGAGAGTTCTGCCAGTCATCTGGGGCTGGGGGGTCCAACTCATGCTGAAGTGGCTTTAACTCTTTAGTGCTATGCTTTAACCCACTGTGCCACCAGGAAGGGCAGTAAGTCTATTGTTTTACATATCTTTTCCCTCTGGAAGAAAAAAGTTCATATAAATATTGTGGGTAGAGGGTGGCTTACCTTGTTCGGGTAATAGCTAAGACTGTATTATAACTGTAGAAGGCCATATTTATATTTTTCTCAACTAGTCAACATAGGGACCTAGACAGGAGGAAGTAAGCAATTTATTATTTTAAAAATACATTAATTATAAAGATAACAGGATTTAAGTGCTTCTAACTATTGCAAGGTTAAAAAGCTTGTATATTCTATTCAAAGTGTAAAATCTCCCTTAAATTATTTCCAACAGTCATGACTAATACTTTCTTAACCCTTGAGTGTTCTCAAGACTTACTTTGATATCCCAACAAAAAGAAATGATATCTAATGTGATGATGCTCATAATGATGATATGGTGTTCAAAGGGATTTTGATTTCTGGTCAATAGTACCTTGTAATCTATCTATTGGAATGGCCGCCCAGTACTTAAGACACTGAACATGACATACTTCTTTGTATCCTAAAAATACAAGTTGAAAATAGATAATATGGTGTGGATTTGTTTTCAATTAGCTGTTATTCCATACTGGGCCATGCTGCCCCAAACTTTAAGATTGAAAGGGTTCACTAATCTCATTTATGTAGCTGTGAAAATATAGACGGTAAATATTTCAAGTTCATATGCAGGCAAACCAGTTTCCTGGGCTAGTAAGTCTCGGGAGCCCAAACCAAGGTTTACCAAATAAGCTTTACCAAAACCTTTCTCTCAACTTTGGGCTACACCCCAAAAGGTCATGTGGAATAAAAACAAAACAAAAAAACTATATCGGGGGTGCTTTTCAGCCAGTGACAAGTAAGAAGCCTTGCTATGTCAACTGTGATTTCCTGCAGCTGGGAAAGGAGTACTTCTCCCGGATGGTGACCTCACCCACAGAGCTGACATTTTGAACAGGCATCCAAATAAAACTTCAGAAGCTCTGTCTGAACCCAGCCTATGAGCTGGTGGGGTGGTCTCACGCAGGAGGGAGACCAGGCCGGGTCTGCGGTTAATCTGCTGTCTGATTCTGGGCACACCCGCCCAGGACTGCAGTAACCACTTCCCGGGGGTGGGGTAGGGTGGGGTGGGGTTGGGGGGTGGGCCTCAGTGAGAACTGGCAGCGCACCTCGCCGGGGTTTTTGCGCCGCCCTTGCCCACAGTCCGGCCGGGGGTTACCTTTGCTCCTGACATTTGACCACCTGGGGGCAAGACGAGCCCTCGGCTTCCTCGGCCAGTGGCTTTTGTGAGAGTTGTGTGTTGGTGGATCGTGTGTGTTGCTGGGGGGTCGGGGATGGGGGCGGGAGCGGGGGTTGTTTTTGAGTCCGGAGGTGGTGCAGGCACCGGAACGACGAACCTGGCTGGCGATCGGGCGTAAGGGAGGAAGGTGAAGGGAGGCTGGGCTTAGGGTGCGGAAGAGAAAGAGACACGAAGCACGGAAGGACGGGAAGTGGGAGCTGAACTCCAAAGTTGGGGGGACGAGATCAAGGGCTGAGGACCTCGCAGTGGGGAACAACTGGAGGCTGTCGGAAAAACCGGGAGCTGATGGGAGGAGTAGGATGCTCGGACTTCGGAGGAAAGCAGGCAGGTACAGCCCCCCAAACGTGAGGACTTGGCTGGCTCACCCCGACCGCCTCCCGCCGGCTCCACGGAACGGCTGCCTCAGTACTCCAAGCCCCTTCCCAATTCCCCCTCTCCCTCAGCTCTCCAAGCTAGAAGGGCCGCAGGCCAAGTCTCTATGGCTCCACCTCCTTCCTCACCCGGTTACGTCACTCTGAGTGACGACACCACCCACCAATGAGCTCTCAAATTCTGAGCAGGGCGGGCGGCCTCACCGAGGAAGACCCCGAGGCCAAGTCCGGCTCCCACCCGCGAGAAGACTTCGCTGTTGTGTTTAGTTTAAGACTTTGTGCCGGGAGGTCCCAGACGGACGTTTCCGTGCTAGTCCACTTCCCGCAGGCTGCGGATTAACCTCTGCTCCCCTCCCCAAAGCCCTTCCTTGAAGGCTGGTATTAAAGAAGCACTTACTTTACCGATAGCGTAATATGCCAGATAGTCGCCATGGTAACCATCTTGGAACCACGAATTACATCACTTTGATGTATTTCCTCCCCTCCCTCCTCCTCCTACATCTTCGCCACTGCTGGTGTGTGTGTGGGGAGGGGGTGGGGGGAGCAGTGGGGAGCGGGAGTGGCAGAAAGGGCGGGAATGGTAAGGAAAACATTTGTTTCTTCTTCAGGGCCCACGATTGTGAAATTTTTCTGTGGAAATACGAGTTCCACTAAAGAAATTTGCTTTATAAAGGTTCTTTTAACGGGCATTATTTATGATCAATAGATGGTGTAGAAATTCCAAAGACCAGTTAAAATGTATAATATAGTGTTAAAATGTATAATATAGTTGGTGTGTGAAGGCACAGGAACTGCAGGGTTGTGAGCACTTCTAGGATGGGCTACTGAGTCATCTTCGGAAAGTGAAAGAGCTAGAAACATTCTTGCTCCTCAGTTATTTCTATCCATCCATTTCATCTGACTTTAGAAGGAAGACAACATTTTCATTGGCTCTGTTTTGACTAACAGAACACAGACAGCAAGGAATCGCTTTCTCACGGAGAATACTTCTCCTAACATGTGAGCTGACTACAGATGTTACTCATCTGCACTGCACATTTGTAAGAATGAAAAATAGTGGGTATTAAATTTCAGCTTAAAAAAAAAAAAAACGCAGACTGCTTTTAATCCACGGAGCATTTCAGCCAATAACCAAGTGGATCAACTATGTTTAATAAGCAAAAACATTCATTTTGGCCACTAGAGGTCCCTTTGTGAATGTTTGATGACCAACTTTCCACTTAAAGGTTTTCACGTGCTTTATTAGAATTAAAACCTATAAAGCTGGCTTTATAGGCTTACCACCTTGAACATCCTTATTGGCAAAATTTTTAGCTTTTTAAAAAAAATTTTTAGCTTTAAACCTATGTATAGTTTTCACACTCATTTTGTAAATTAATCACTGCACAACCATGTGTTCATACTTTTCTGGAAAGGAGCATAAATGATGCACAAATATTCCTCTCAGTTCCCTGGGAGACATTTTATATTGTGAAATATTCTTATTGATGCATTGTATTGGCTTACAACAAGGCACAGTGAATGTCATTAAGTATTCATAAGTGAGATTAATGACTCCAGGCTCAGTATTTGAAAGAGGAACTAGGTTTTCTACTATGATCATATGTCAGCAAACCTATTCTGAAAGGGGAAGAGTTAAGACAGTTTACTGAAATCTATTTCAAAGTACTATCTGCCTTCAGTTATCAGGCCTGTCAACTTTTTTACTTTGGGATAAGTGATTTATCATGTAAGGAGTGTGAGGATATTATCAGAAGAAAAACAATTTTTTTCCCCATAACTTTGGCCCTGGGAATTGTTTCAGTGCTGTTTTAATGAGCTCATTGCTCATTTACTATGGGGAGAGAAAATGTGCTGAATCTCAGAAGATGTTAGATGCTAAAAATGTAAATTATTTTGTTCACTGGTTATTTCCCTAAGTATGGTTGTAGATTACATGTTATTAATAATGTTTTTTCTAATGTTTTGTGGGAAGGGGTTATGCACCTATTTCATATAACTATATATTTTTTAGATTTTTTTATGCATACAAGAGCTGGGGTATGGGCCAGGGGTTCATGGGGTAGAGGGTGAGAGGATCCACCAGAGACATAGTGTGGAGCAAAACAGGCAGAGTGACTGAAATACGCTGCTGAGGGGCGCAGCTATTGAGACAGGAGAGGTCTGCTGTACTGGGGTCACCTCCCTGGAGGCGATCGAACTTATGCTGCAGTGCTCCAGTGACTGGATAGCTTCATGGTGCTGCTACTTAACCTCTTGTGCCACCAGGGAGGCCCCCTAATTCATATAACTTTAAACATTTTTCAACATAGCTGTAGAAACAGTGAAAGCAAATCTCTGGGGACAAGGTATTAGAGTTTTTTTTTTTTTTTTCAAGGAAAAAAATACAGGTGTTATGATCTATCAACAAGTTATGAGCATACAGCAAGATGGGGAAAGAAGTATGAAAGTAGTAATGACCACAGGGAGGAAAAAGACCAGGTTAACCTCTTTTTATGTGAGTCAAACAGGCTCAGGTGGCCCCCTTTTGGAGGTCTGCGTCCTAAAAAAAGACATAACGAACGATTATGTGTTTTTATCGGTTCCTTTAACTTTTGGTACTCAAAGTATAAGTACTATACATGCATAAGTTTAGAAGTAACTAATGATTATGGGAATACTTAATTCTAAGTGTCATCCTTAAGAGTTTTTAAAGCAGGTTTTTAAAAAAATTATTTATTTATGCATACAGAATTGGGGTACAGGCCAAAGGTACAGGGGCAGTGAGAGAATTCACTAGAGACAGAGCAGGGAGCAGAATAGGCAGATCCATGAGGTACACTGCTGAAGGGAACAGCGGGCACAACAGGAGAGGTCTGCTGTGCCATGTGGGTCACCACTGTGAAGCGGCTGTCACTAGCTTCACAGTGCTGTGCTTTAACCCATTGTGCCACCAGGGAGGTCTAGAACAGGATTATGTCTTTAAAAGTGATAGTGATAAGTAGCATTAAAAGAATTGATCGGTAGGAACCTTTTCGTTTCTGGTTTAAGAGGTATTTAGAGATAAAGATACCACGAATTTCTTGAAATGGTGTCAAATAGATCCAGGCCTGTAATGTCTATGGAGAGATAGTGAGACCGATGTGCTAGTAGTGATGCCATTTTATTATTCTCAGAGAGCAGAGTGTTGGTTTCATCATCTGATGGATGTCCGTGTTTCTTTTGTATAGTCATATCTCTATGCTGCAGCCTTCTAAGTCACTATCACCAGGTCCCAGGAGTTACTACCAGAATGCACACCTGCAAGACAAGTATACTGTGTTATATATACACCTCAGACCTTCAATTGTTCAATATGAATTTCCTCGGATGGGAGGGCAGGAAGGTTACCGAGATTTTTGACTCTCTTCCTCCTCTCACTCTTGCGCGAGCTCTGTCTAAGACAAACGCCCTCACATCCCTCGAAGCTAAGGTCTGGCATCGAGCAGAGGAGGGCCCTGGCACGTGACGGATTACGAGCCCCAGGGTCCCTGGCGTCCGGGATGCAGTCGGCGCTGACGTCCTCCTCTTTACCCACAAGCCTCCGGGCCTCACTGCGAGCAGGAAGAAGGCGCGCGGGCCCGCTGCCTGCGGAGGATGTTGGTGCTTCCTCGCAGAGACTGAGATGAAGCACCGCCTTCGAATGCTTGGCTTCTTGCCATCTAGGGTGGGGTGGGGCGGGGTGGGGGGCTTCTGGCACTCACATCCGGGACTGAAAGGGAGACTGTCCCCCTGGGCTGAAATCTGAAATTGCTGCCGCGGTTTCCAGACGCAGACACATGTGCAATAGGGCAGTCGTTCTGACAGCTGCCGGACCGGGACAGACTGGGAAGCACATACATTATTCTACTTTTTCCTGGTCATCTTAATCGGGCACGCGTCTGTAGGTTATTTCTAACATCAAGGGATTGTATAGCCGTGGCACTCTGAGGTGTGCCATATGGTATTGAATATGTGCTGCTATTAAATAAGTATCAAAGAACACGCACAAGCACAATTTTATCTCACAGGCCCAGCCTTTAACCTGTTTTCTAGTGCCCCCCCTCTTTCTTCGCATCATTCCTTCCTGTCCCCGACTTTATCGCTTGCGGTCTCATTTCTCATCTAGACTCTCCGGCTGCTCGCGTTTCTGGTTTGGCTCCCTCCCCTGCTCTCCACCCCGCTGACTAGCTGCTTCCTCCTTTCGCCCCTTCGCCCCAACCCCGGGACTGCATTTCCCGGCAGGCGCCGCGGCCAGCAGCCAATGAGAGACTGAGGATTTGGCGGCGGCGGCGGCGACGCTCCGAGAGTCAGGGTGGGGGGGCTTTGTGCGCGGCGGCGGTGGCGGCGGCGGGAGCGGACGGCGGCGGCGGCGGTGGCCAGGACGGAGGCGGAGGCCGAGGGGGACTGTCCACTGGTCGCTGAGAAAAGGCGTGCGAAGGCCGAGTCGAGCCCCGAGGTTTCTGTTGCCCCGGCCCGGCCGCCAGCCGCAGGCTGCTCTCCAGCAGCAGCAGCAGCTGCGCGGCGACCCCCATCCCTCAACCAGCCCTTCCCGGCGCACCTTCGGCAGCCTTCCTCCTCTCCTCTCCGCTTCTCGCCCGGCCCGGCCCGGCCGTGGCCCTCCTTGGTGCTGGCCGCCATGGCAGAGGCGTCCGGCGCGGGGGAAATCTAGCCCGGGGATTTCATGCGGCCTAGCTTGGTTCCGTCTCCTCCCCCCGCGGCCCCGGCGGCTGCCCGCACCCTAGCCCCACTCCGGGCCTCCGTGTCTCTCCTGTTATCGTACTGACACGGCCGGGGGGTTAGAATGGAACAAACTGAAGGTAAAGTGAACGCGTGTGCATGTGTATCTGTGTGTGTGTGTTGGAAGGAAGGGCGCCGGAGGGAGCGACGAGGAGGGGGCGACCCAGTGATGGGATCGGGTTAGGGAGCGAGAAGCTAGCATTGGAAGGGGGAGGAAGAGGGTACCCTGAAAGGGTTTGGAGAGAGACTAGATGGAGGAGCAGATGGCAAGGTGGGGGTGTAGAGGGGTTTAAGAGGTGGGGCAGGGCAGGTAGGTTTGGGGTAAGAGACGGTGTGGCGCTGAACTGGGAATTGGGAGTAGAGATGGGATGGGGGCGGGGATAAATGAATCGGGGGAGGGGCAGGGAAAGGGGAGAAGAGTTAGGTTTGGAGAACATTAGAGACTTGGGCGAACTGAGAAATTGGGGAGGCTTGGGGGGTGGGGGTGGGAATTAGAAGACTCTGGAGCAAGGGGATGGAATTTGACGGAGAAACGAGGCAATGGAAGTGGAGGAAAAGGTGGATTAGAAGAAGGATGAGAAATGATTGAGACGAGATGCAATAGGATAGGAAATAGACTCAGGAAACTGAAAAGCAGGTGATTGGGATAGGGGAAGACAAATCAACATTCAGTGA